TGCATACACATGACCTGATGACCTGGCAGTGGCAATGCATACTACATGTACTCTATTTTTTTGTCCTTTGTTCTTTCTAGTCTATTCAAAGTTCACAAAATGCTTGCCTACCTGTAGGCTGTAGCAGGGGTTTCTGATCAATCCGTAGCGCAGTGTCTTACTCCCATGCATCGACTCGCTGATCGAGGCAAGAGTAGCCTGATTCAAGGCCGGCCTCTGGAGCACAACAGAGCAGACCGCCCTGTTGCTGAGGCAAAATGTGAGAAAAAAATGACAACGCGCCAGTCCCGCGGCCCGGACAGCCTCCAGGAATCCTGGAAACTGTGATTTCCATATTGATACCTGTACTTGTACAAGTTGTAGTACACCTGTACTACTGTATATGGTGCAAAGCGCACATTCCGCCATGTGCGGTGTTATCAACAGCTAGCCAAACACCAAAGAGTGAATGGGAGATCTAGGATTATCCAGGCTTCAATACCGCACATACTAAAAGTATAATAACTTGAACCAGTGAATGGCGTGTTTTAAAGTTTTTAATACCATTGTGCAGAAGAGTAGTCTGGGAATGTTCAGCCCCCTCTTGTTGTGTCTGTTCTGCCATGATACTTGAAGTACACAACAAACATACATGGCGCGTACGCACATTCTTCATGTCCGAATCCGTGTTCGGTAAGTTTATGATCTCCTTCAGCTCAGCTGATGACGCCATTGATGGAGAACAAACAAGGGAGGATCAGAACGACATACCATTGCCTTATATGAAGTGTAGTCAGTTCTGCCCCACGGGTGGATCGATGGTAAGATGATGGCGTCTTCTGACCATCCGACTGTCATCGCCATCGTGGTAAACAAGGAAGTGTACTAGTATGTTAGTCGTGACGTGGCACATGTGTTCCACGGTGACCCCCAACGCAGCCATTCCACCGCAGCTGTATCGTACTGTACGTGACCCTAACTCCTGACCTAAGGCCTTAACCTGCTATGGCTCTGCACTCGCACCACACTCTGCAGTACAGGACTTGAGGGGCACCATCACGGTACCAACGCATTGTTGGGGCACAAGAATAGCTACAGTGCATGTCAATCCTGTCCATGTGTAGATGCATGTTCTGGCGCGAATGTCAAAGGCCAATCTCCTGGAGATTCAATCACCAGCATTACAGACTGTGCATGCACTACACAATGCACGAGAAATCATCCTGATTAGTAGCTTATGCCCGTGGTGGTTCGAACACAACATTTTGTATACAAATGCGTTATCTGCAACAGTATCACCTGGGAATTCATGACGGCGTGACTTTGATACGTTCTAGCTGACCAAACAAGAGACTGATTTCCCAGTCTGTTTTGTACACTGACCGAAGCTGCACAGAGATGGTTTTTGAAACTGAGATGGTTAATAACTGGCTGCGTTCTAACAACTCTCCAGATGGGCATTTCACTTAATGAGGTGGTATCGGGTGAAGTGGCATGCGGTGGGTGGTCCCTGGAGCGTGGAAAGCTCGCCAAAAATACACTTCTCGCACGCTAGCAGACAAGTGTTAAATTCTCAAGTTCACATCCCCCTTCGTTATCCTAACACCAATTGTCTCATTCCACATGTTCAGAGGCTGCGGGACCTGTAGTAGAAGCACGGTTCAAACACGCACCCGGTCAACATTCACTTCACTGGTCTAATAATTAGGTGTTTACGTGATTGCCGAGGTGGTCAAAAATTACGCTTTTCTGTGGAAATCAACTAAAGTTACTTCAATGAAACAGTTACACGATGCCATGTTGGGATTATGGTGCACTTTGGCAGTTTTTAACGTAGATCTACCTACTGGTATTAAACTTTATACATTGTCGATAAATACATAGACAGAAATCCCCGATGACTTGGTTCAGTGTCGGACTCGGTAGGAGTTGGTATTCGCACTATCTCGAGGTACATGTACATGTACATGTACATATAAGACTTAGTCTATAATGTTTACGGGCAAAACAAACACACAAACACATACAAACACAAGCAGCACAAAACAGGGCTGTACAAGCACACGTGACATGTATCTCTGGTTTAGTTGTGTACTGTATTGGACTGCTCCTGAATGTGCTGTAAAGCACAGGATGAGCCACAGACTAGCGCGGTTGTTTGTTTGGGGATCCTTCACTGCTGACAATCATGAAGATGGATAAATCTAATGACGGTACCTTTGGGAGTGGTATAATTATTTCATGGGTTTGACTTCAAGATCATGTCAGCATCATTTTGTAACCTACAACGGTAAACCATCGTGGAATAGAACCTGGACAGGGGCGGGCAATGCTCGGCCTAACATGTACATTGTACATCGTATAATGTTACTGTACTTGGAAACGTCTCTTAGAGCCATACATGTACAGTATCCTTGTTCTTGTATTAAAGCTGTAAATGAACGAGCATGTACATGTACACGTATATGTTTACTGTGACCATGATTGTATGCTAACCCTCGTGTGCCAAATCGCCTCACGATTGCGAGGAATACTCGTAATGCGGGCATTAAATGATGATAAAGAAACAGCTGCGGTGAATTTCAAGGTAGATACCTGCACGACACCGATACTGAGCTCAGATGTGCAGCTTGCAGACGCACGGGCACTCAGAATTGTTGAACAAGCTGCAAATAGGTTACTGCGCCCGATCTATTTGAGGACTGCTTTACATTGATTGCCACGGGTGCGGCATCGAGGTGAAACACACGCCCGCAGCCCAATAGTGAGAAATACAGAGTCGTTTAAAAGAAATTAACCAGTTGAGGAAGCTGTGTAGTAGCCTTTAAAACCAGCTGACAATAGTGTGCACCACTCCCAAGCTACTTCGAAGTACACAGGTACATGTACCTTGATTCGTCAGGTTTGATCCGTACTACAGTCCATTCAGAAAAAAATGAACTTCTAGCTTTTGGCCATAAATGGGTCAAACGTTGATTTTTTTTAGAATTTTTTTCTGCAATCCCATATGGAATCCTCTTCCAATTATGTTTCTGAAGTTTTTTTGTCCAAAAAGCAAGCCATAGCAAGAATAGGATTTCGGCCAGGTTTTGCCCCAAAAGCACTGAATTGGGAAAAACCATCAAAATCCAGGCCGTTTGACCCCGCCTGCAACAGTGCATTCTGCGGTTCGAACCCCAGTTCAGGCACCCTTTTTGGACCCTTTTTCAAATTTCAAAGTTCGCAGCACTGCACTGTGTACGATGAAATCACGAAAAATCGCCAAATACGGGAGCTCGCCAGAGCCAGGACCCATCTTTTTATGAATGGACTGTAGAACTACGATTACATTGCACTGCTCTTCATCACTGACATCAGCACTGCATGGCGATCATTAGACTTCAAGCTACAGCATTATCAGCAGTTCAGACGGCAAAGAATCTAGGAGGCGTACCTATTTCAGTTATACAGTGTGAAGTTTGATATTGTTGTTGTGTAGTTATACAGTGTGTATATTGTGCAGTACAGCCAGAAAACCCCACCCCGTCTTGGTAATGTGTTGTCAATCGATTCTTTGTGTTCTCTTGGGGATGCCAGCAGCATGTCCAGTCGACTCTACTTCTTTGTACCAGGCTGTTGTTCAGTGTTCCACCCAGGGAGTCGTATGGTCTATACGACTCCCTGGTTCTGCCATTCCGAAATCTATACAGGAATCCACACTGTAAGGAGCAGGGTATGATCGCGCCACACTGCATGCTACAGTTGGCATTCAGACTCACCAGCGGCCCTGATGAGAAACATGTTGTTTGCTGGTTGGAATGTTCAAGGAAAACCACCGCGAGTAAAACCCGTGAAAATACTAGCGCAAGGGGAGCCCAGAGGGACTGCGGGGACGCATCAACCGTAACCAAACCAGGTTTTCATGCAGGACTCTTTAAAACTCGATGTAGTTGGAAGTCGTTGAAGATAAACGTAGTAGCATCTAAATACACTGAGCTAAGCCTGCAGTACATAGCTGTTCATACCCGGACATCATTCGAAGGTGACTGCAATTTGATCCCAGAGCGTCATGTGCTCCTTTCTCACGCTGCCAGAAGTTGGTTCGTGAATTGTTTTCGAAAGGTTTCTTACTTTTACCCGCGACTACCCCCATTCAACACATCTACGACGCCATCCTCCTACTGGATCGTCCGCGGACGATGTTTATTAACAACGCATGGAATGTTCCACTGAACTCTCCTTTCCAGACAGGTTCACATGCAGTCCATATTGACAACACAACAGTACAAGCATGTTAGTGTGAATGTTGATCTTCCATCGCTCCGCTTGCTTGCGCGTCGATCCTCTTTGGGATTACGTTTAGCTATGCGCAGCTTGTTGGACTCACAGCTCAGTGTCCAGCACGGCAGCAGTGTTTACACGAATGAGTTTATCTCGCCAACCACTGTCCGCGACAGCCGGCGGCAAGGGGCTCAGAAACTTTGACAACTCATGATTGGTACAAGAGTCGTTTCGTGTACTTGTATGCAGTAGTGTTGCGCCAGCATTCATCATCTCGTTTTTTTGACAGTCATAACTGACACTGAGAAGTCCAGCATTGCATAGCATTGGCATGTTAGTTCTGACATCGGACTTTGTGATTCTCCCATGCCGTGTGCTCGGACCATGCCACGTGTACTGATGTAGGTCTACATGCGCACCAATCACGTCGTAGCTTCTGACCTGAACACGAAGAGTGTGTGTGCGTGTCACTGCGCTACATACATGACTGTGTGTCAGCATTGTGTGTTTAGTTTACAGGAACTGCACGCGGATCGCTGGACTGCACCTACTAACCACGAAGTGTCTGTCTGTCCTGCATGCAGTGCTGCAGGTCTGCGAGTGCAGACTGCGGAGTGTGGAACGATGCCATGCCTTTGTCCTTGCGCACCCCATACACAACAGAACAATACACCACAGCTTTGTCCGCGCTGTCGTTTTACACACCCGTCTACCAAGGTATATCACGTGCTGTTGAAGAGTGGAAATTTTGAATCGAGACCCCCTGGACGGGGCAAGGCTCGACAAAATTCAGCGTTTCTCCGGGTCGCCGAAACAGAAGAACAAGGTCCCGAGGAAGACCTTGATGAAGATAAGTTATCGACGCTGCAATAGAATAAAGTGGCGAAAGACGGACGGAAACGGCAACAGGATTGTTCTGGTGAGCTAAGTATAGACTGCCGTTTCTCCACCCTTTCCTAGCGGCGAAGGCTTGCCTGTCAGACCAGCTCACTGCCAACACACTGGCTGATGTATTTTCGGCTACGAACTAAACAACGTGGTCAAGGAACCAGCTCAAACTTGCTGTTGAACTTCGCAAGGGGCGGGAGGAATTTAGATTGATTCACAGCTCGTTTCGGAGCGGGACAACTCCAGCTTGAACGTAGCGGTATCCGGCCTGGGCCTTTGCTTGGACGTCGCACGCCGACGAGGATTGCAATCTCTCGAAACTATAAAGATCAGTCACAACGCTCAACATGTCCAAAAATCTGAAACAAAGTAGTCAACGACTTGCAGCGGCTACGGGACAAGGAGGAAAGGGATTACCACCACTTGCCGGTGCCAGCAAGAGGAACGACAACAGTGCGCGATACCCCACAGATTTGCCAGTGCAGCCAGCAACAGCATATCACGGAGGGAATCTTCCAGGATTCAAGCGTGAAACAGCGCATCACCTACCGCTACAGTCACCCGCGCAAACTCCGAGCAGCTCACACCGTGCTCAGGATCGACCACGCTACCTGCCCTCAGAGTCATTAGCCTCTCCTCAGTGGCCAGGCCCTCAAGACAGTACACACAGTAACTATACAAGTCTACCGGCAATAACAAGGCCAGCCAGCCAGCAGCAGCAGCATCACCAGCAGTATACGCTACACAATCAACCCAGCCAATCATATCCAAGTGCAAGCCATGGGAATTTCTCATCTCAGAAGTTGACCACACCAGTAACAGGTCAACATCAGCATCAGCAGCCGCACCATCACCATCACCACCATCACCAACAACAGCAGCATCCAGTACTTGATAGCTACGGTGGAGGTAGTTTGACGTGTGCTTCGCCAGCAACCTCAGTACTCACAGAGCTGCTGCCACCAGCAGCAGGGGGACGGCTTCCCGTGGACAGAGGTCAAATCATTGACACCACCAAGCAAGCATTCCCCTATCCTGGAATGACAGCAACGCAGCAGCATCAGCTCACAGCAGAACAACAGCAGCAGCAGCAACAGCAGCAACCACAACACGGCCAGCTCCAGCATTCCCAGGCAGCAGCCCCCCATCACCATCACCAACAGCAGTCAGTATCAGGTCACGCATCTACCTTGCCGCCGCTTGCTGGCGAGCCGAGAACAGTAGCACGCCTATCACATGCCGGTGCGGTTCAGGCTCTAGCTGGTGATACACTGGGACAAGCTGCCTACAGTGGTGAGCCGCAGACCACCGGACTAGCACTGCCTAGCATCAGTGCTTCTAGTCAATTCCCTGCCATGTTCCCGACTACAGACACTCTAAGTACATTGGACTCCAGCCTCACAGCCAGCACAGCACTACCTCCGTTCCTTACTGCCGCTAGCCACGCTGGCGGTGTAGCGGGCAATTTGACGGCCACGACGGGATTGTCCGGTGTGGCGTCTCCGTCTTCACTTCAACTGCGTCAGCTCATCCAGGCCTACGGCCTACTGTCGCCGTCCACATTCTCTCGGGCCGTGTGCAAGCGTGGCCACTCCATCTCACCACTCTCAGACCTTATTCCAGGCGACCTGATGAACTCCCTTGTCCGTGGCTCTCCCATGCCACTGGTGGCACTCGATGCAAGTACTGGACAGCAACTTCACCTTAGCCAAATCCAGCAACACCAACAGCAGCAGCAGTCATATCCTGCTGGCACGACCATGGCACAAGCCACTCTCCCACAACAGCCTGGTCAGCAGCGGCCAGTGACAGTGGATATGGCAGTGGTGACTGCATCCAACAGCAACAACAACAACCAGAGGTATGTCACGCAACAACAGCAGCAGCATGCTGGTGGTGGTGGGCATGAAGAAAGCATGGTGATTGGTAGCAGTGACATGCATCAGGACGTGGCTATGCTGCACAACACTGCTGCTGCTGCCACTACTGTAGCAATGAGCAGTGCAGAGTCATATGCACACGGTCATGCGCCGCCAACAGTACACTACACAGGAGCAAGCAACGACGGCAACGACATGGGACAGTTGTCTCCTCCAAACGCACAGTACCCTCCTCATCATCCAATGGTCACTAACAACATCAGTGTCAATGTCCAGACCACAGTCACGGACACCTCACCATACGAGCACATGACACCTCAGATTAGCCAGCCACACCACCACCACCACCAGCAGCAGCAGCAAGAACAGCATCACCACCAGCACCAGCACCAGCAGCAGCAGGAGCAGTCAGCAGCGCATCAGTCAATGATGGGTCATGACGGTGGACACTACGACTACCCCGTGCATGTGGACATCAACAGTTCGTCGCAGTGCACCGTACCGGGCTGTACGCAATGCGGCCCCATGATGTCCATGCATCATCACAGTGTAGCAATGATGCAGCACTGTCCGCCGGCACCGGAAGAGTACCTTGTGGAGATGCAGGTATGTCGCTGGTCCAATTGCCTGATGCAGTTCCCTGACCAGGAAGATCTGGTTCAGCACATTGAGAAGATGCACATTGACCAGCGGCACAGCGACGACTACATCTGCCTGTGGACCGGCTGCTCTCGTCAGCAGAAGCCGTTCAATGCACGCTACAAGCTGCTGATTCATATGCGTGTCCACTCTGGCGAAAAGCCGAACAAGTGCACGGTGAGTCTAAGGCTTGGTTTGGCAAGAATGACCGTATAGTTTGGCAAGATTGACTGCTTGGTTTGACAAGAATGACCAATTGCATTACCCCGCTTCCCACTGCCTATCTGCTTTTAGTAGTATGTTGCAATCCAGGAGTATGGTCGTGACAGACACACATGCAGGAGCTTAAACACTCCGGTTCTCACATACTGCAGATAATGGCAACCTTGGCTCTAAACTTAAAGTCATCACCACAATTGCATGCTACACCGTTGGGTACTATGCTTCTTTGCTGGTTGTAACAAAGGAAAGAAAGTCTGCTCGTAGGCCAAAGCCCTGTGGTGCTAGGGAAAAAGTATATGTTACGTCTATGCAAAGTACATTGATGGTCAACAATGGTTTGCTCTGTTCTGTGCAATGATTGTGATCTCCTTAGCATGATGGCTGTGACAAGGCGTTCTCTCGCCTGGAGAACCTCAAGATTCACATGCGTTCCCACACTGGAGAGAAGCCGTATCCTTGCCAGCACCCTGGATGCACAAAGGCGTTTTCCAACTCGTCCGACCGTGCCAAGCATCAGCGCACGCACATTGAGCAGGTAAGCCGAAGGCAATTCATGACTCCATCTCCAGACATGTTTCCATTGAGAGAACAAGGCATAGCCTACACTGTAGAAGATACTTCAAATTTCAAATGGCCGTGAACGATGAACACTTGCACATGCGCAAGTACACAATACTCCCCAGTAGTGTGCAGCCATTGCCCACTGTAGATCAAAGCACACTGGACGCCATCGAGATTGCGTGACCTTTCCTTCCAGTCAGTGCATGCGCTGCGTGTACAACGTGTACAGCTCAGAATACACAATAGCTGTACCGGAATACTTCATTGTAGTGTCATTTTTTGTGCACACACTCCGTACTGACTTGCAATGCACAAGTCCCAAGCCCGTGTTCTTTCCGTTCTGTTCATTTCAGAAACCCTATGCATGCACCCATCCCGGCTGCACTAAGCGTTACACGGATCCCAGCTCACTTCGCAAGCATTCCCGCACTCACACCAAGGACATGCAGGCAGCAAGGAAGAAGGTGAGGATCACAAATGCACACTGCTTGTTGTATTTCGCTTTCTACCACTGGCAGGTACCATTGTCCAACAGCTTTCCACTAATTACAGCCGTAAAGTCGTGTTCAAAAGCCACGGCTTGTAGGACTTTTTGGGGGAAACTCTGCAGGCTTCTACATGAGACAGGCGTCTATACAAGACAGGTACAAGTATTTCTATGTATATCAACACTAAAACCAGGCTTATGTGCCGACAGTGTATCTTGAAAATCAGGCTTCTATCAGTTCAAAACAGGCTTCTATAACAAGACACTACTGTATCTTAAACATGCATGAAAGTGCACCTTCTACACATGTACATGTAGTAGAAGAACTTATTTTGTGTTTTGTTAACATCAATACAAGTACATTGTACAAATGAATGTATGTGTGTGCTTCTTGTCTCTCTAATGTCAGATCAAACTTGACGACACACTGGGCTCAACAGAGAATGGTATTGAAGGTCTGGACAGCCTCCTCTCCATCCAGTCTCTTAGCCATGGCAGTCCGAAGGGCACCACCATGGCAGGCACGTCGGACATGTCCGCTGTCAACTCGCCCAGTGCAGCCAGCCAGCACATGCCCAACGTTTCACTGATGAGCCTCGGATCGCCGCGCGAGTCCATGCCCGGAGGCTCCTCCGCCGGCATGCCATCGCCCTTGAAGTTGTCCGCGTCGAATCGTCTGGGTCACCCCTCGCTGGACCAGGGCTCGTCCGTTGGCACTCCGATGACTTCCACACCACATCACACTCTACCACCAGCTTCACTGAATCGCCACCAACCATTGCCCCACATCGGCGGCGACATGTCCCCTGTCACCACTAGTGCTGCTATGCACATGAACACCAGTCCAGCATCCTACCCGTCACAGTTCACCTTTGACACTAGTGGACAGCAGCAGCGACGACACGAAGAAAGCCTCCATCCCAACAGTCGACCGTACATGACACCGAGCTCTACTGCTCATCGCAGGTCTCCAAACGCAAGGTCCTACGGCAGTGGCATGCGAGTGAAGAGCTTTTCGGGCAATGAAAGTGGACTGGGAGCATCGGCCATGGACGGTTCTCTCTCAATGATGCCTCCCGGCCATGGTCATGGTGGTAGCAGCATGCAGGTGACATCTTCTGCCACGGGACAGCCAGCCGCCCCACAGCAACAGCACCCGAGGGCACGCAGAGCGTACCATCAGCAACCACAGCACCACCATCACCAGCAGCAGCAGCAACAGCAGCAACCTGCTTCGAATAAACATGATGATCAAGATCTCGGTTACTCCAGCACTGAAGAGTTCCAAATCGTCTAGCGGACACAAAGTGACGAAAATTGTTGACGTAACCGAATAGCTTTGCATGACATGACGTAACCGTATAGCATAACCGCATGACATGACGTACCGGCTAACTTTACTTCTTTCTTTCCGTTGAATATGACGTAAGATGAATACGAACTACTCTATGAATGATTGCATTTCTATCTGTCCTACCTGTTATCTCTTGACATACTGAGAGTGGGTGTGAACTATTATACAGAACTAGTAGAGCTATATTGTTAAGTAAGTGCAAACGCAATCATAATAGTGAGCAGCATAGCATTCATTTCGCTTCCGTCCGGGTGCAAATCATTCCTGTTGATGCCATTCATTTGCATGCAACTCCTTCTTTTTGGATAGTGCAGTAATAATTATTTTAAAAACCAAGTAAGATTTCAAGTATCATACAGCTACAGGCTTTTAAAGTGTTTACCGTTTCATGCACAGATTACTAGTATTATATCTTCCCAGTAGAAGCAACTCGTCACATCCACATGTAAACTGAAGATCCGCACATCCTATTTTTTAGTATTTTCTAGACATATTTTAGTCCATATTTTAGTTGTAGTGTGGCTAAGTTACCATTCATCCATAGCATTTACAAACCGTGGCATTTCACTACATACAACTGTAACATTCTGATAGTCAGGCATTGTGAGTATCATAATAACGATAATAAAATGGATCTTGATAGTGAAATTCCGGTCCTCTGTATTGTGTGTCGACCGCAGGGTAACTTGCATGCGTAGCTACCAGACTAGGTGTGCAGCACACTGTGATGTACATACACCGTCAAGCACCGCGAGAGCGCCCCCGTCTCACGAGAGCACCCCGCCTTGATTTACAGCCAGGGGAAGGGAAATCATATACCAGAGTGTTGCTGAGTTTGCATACTGCGAGAATCTTACTGTGCTAAGGTCACACTTGGCCTGTTTTTGTGTGGAGCTGGCATCCGCTCGAAGGTAAACTGAGTACGGATTGACTGCACGACATGCAACGTGCGTACACGGTCCGTGTGGTATGACCTACAGACAGGACACCACCTCCACAACTTAGGGACCTCAAGACGACCACAAAAGGATGAGATGGTGGGGCGCACTCGCGGTACTGTATGGTGCATGTATCCTTTTGCTAGGCGCATGGCATCAATCAGCCTGTCACGATGTGAATGTTTCATGTGGCTAGTCATGTCCTTGAGACTTGGTTGGTGTTAACAACAGATACGTTCCCAAGAGCTCGGCAGATGACCGTGTGGGGCAGGACCTGGTGCACACTGGTAGTAAGCAGGATGATGATATTATCTTCTTTAGAGCTAGTGCCGCCGCAGTGGGTCTCCGGCACATCTGTGACTAGCCGAGCAGAACTGCGGCCGCCTCGACACAACAAGTTGATGATACTATACACACATCACTCGGAATAGGGCAGATTTCAAGTGTACAGCCATCCAAGCGTACGCCAAATGTAGTACTGAGTGTTCTTGGAGTCAACAGCTGACGAATCAACCTTTCTTTTTTAAGAATTTGGAAAGTTTTAGCTGAACTTCAGCACTTGAGGAAAACATATTTTTAAAGGAATACGCAAGCAAAAGGCTGCCACTGCTGTAAAGAATCAAAAAATATAATGGTTTGGCAATGATGAGAGTCTGCCTCTAGCATGTAGAGACCAGCTCATGCATGTTATCTCCGAGCAGGACAGTTGCCGGAGATTAACAGGTGTCCATTAACAGGTACTCGTCAAAACGACTCTGAGCAGCACCAGGCTGAGACAAGGACCATGATGCCAACATAGATATGATGTAATATAAATGCCGAACTGAGCTACGCAGTGCAGCTATCTGCCGGTGGAGCTCCATGCAAAAAGCCAAAAAGGACATGCCTGGTGCACCTATTTGTAATGGTGGTATGGTACAACACGTTTCTGCCACAGTATCTGTAATGATGGCATCCTACGGCTGCCACCACTAGATCTCTGTTATATAACACAGTCTTTTAACTAACCACTGTACATGGTCGTGTGATCAGCTGGTACAATAATGGGCATGTTGCTGATCATATAAACTGTCAAGTCAGCACATCATGGCACACGTTCAGTACACACCGTGTGGTGGATTAACACTAGTACAGTCTATGCCACAAGTAGTGCAGCCCTGGACTGGAGTACTGCCGCTGGCTGCAGTGTCCAGTTACGAAAGCTGATTCCGAAATGTCTGCCTCCAAGCACATCTGCTAACTGGTAACTTTGGATAGATACCTGATACTTGATCGGTGCAAGGCCGTAAACTTGATGATTGCGCCGTACGTTGCAGTGATGCTAATTGGGAAGATCTTCATAGAGGCATTCTTCCTCTGCAGGCACACGGAGACATTGCATTTTATATGGGTCAGACCGTTTGCTCTCTTTCCTATGCTCTCCCTCTAAAATAGAAATGCTGTTTCAACTTTCAGTCCATTGTTTCTACTTACTTTGTGCAATTTGATGTGTAGACTTTTCTTGTTCTACACTTCTTTCACCTTTGTTTTGAATCCTCTTTTAATCCACTCTAATCGCGACCCATCAGTTCTGTATTCATGCACGCTTCCCGTGGAATCTCTTTATGGGTCCCAAAACCTAGTAAAGAAAAGCAAATTCCATGTCTCCTTTTCTAATGGAACCTGCGCTGGCCACTGCCCCCCCCCCCCCCCCCCCTTGACACAATCCGCTAATTCCCAGGGTAACCAACATCACTTCAATCAGGCCAATACACATACGTATCCAGTCTGCCCAGTCTGCCCAGTCTGTTGCATGCCACTAACAGGACGGCCAAGAGTACATGAACCGGTTCATGTACTCTTGAGAAGACTTGTAGCTACGGGTGAGGACAAGTGTGCCTGCAGATGCCAGCTAACAGTCGATACTACCAGTAGTACTCACAGTCTCCCCAGTATCCCCAGTAACCCCAGTCACAGTATCCCCAGTCACATGATCCCCAGTATCCCCAGTCACATGATCCACAGTATCCCCAGTAACCCCAGTCACAGTAACCCCAGTCACAGTATCCCCAGTCACAGTATCCCCAGTATCCGCAGTATCCCCAGTCACATGATCCCCAGTCACAGTATCCCCAGTCACATGATCCCCAGTATCCCCAGTCACAGTATCCCCAGTCACATGATCCCCAGTATCCCCAGTACTGTACTAGCCAGAGATCAATGTGATCATGTAGACACTTAACCTGTCCCCGATTGTGCAGGTGCACTGATTACAAGCAAAGAGGCAAGCACGGCAGTACAGTGACTACATGGGTTTTCCTACTTAAGACCTACCTGGCTCGGGCACCTGAACTGCTCCAGGGACCGGCGGCGCTCGAACAGACGGTGGTGGCATGCCGCTGATACTGGATAATCTGTTAGGCTGTATGTGGCCGGTGAGGGCAGCATTAGCTATTGCACTGCCCTGACCAACATCCTCATACATGCATTCAGCTTCAATCATGTCATCACCTCTGCAGCAACAGCAACAGCAGCAGCAATGACAAAAGCCAAGAACATAGACTGGTCAGCACAACAACGCATGTGTCCATTTTTCCCGCACCCGAGGCCGGGTCAGAATTACGGGATTGATTTCAAACAGGTCACTTTGTGTACATAATACCTCCACTTGGAGTTGTGTGAGCTGGTGTGGTGAGCAAGATTCAAGTCGCCAGAGAGTACATGCGGCGGGGGAGTTTGGCAGTCCGAGTTATTGAACAATGGCCCGAGGTAAGCTGCTACTTATCCTCCAGTTCAGATAAAATGTTCACAAGGCAAAAAGAACATGCCTTCGTAATTCACAAATCTGTTTATTTAGAGATAGGAATGAATACATATGTATATCAACAAACTTGACGGACTCACCCTTGCTCCTATCAGCGGAAGATGTTGAAGTGAACGCAACAAAAACGGAGAAAAAGGAGATCACCGTGATGACACACAAAGGCACACACACACACACACACACACACACACACACACACACACACACACACACACACACACACACACACACACACACACATACACACGTGCACACACACGTGCACACACACACACACACACACACACACACACACACACACACACACACACACACACACACACAACCTGCATTCAACAACACATTCACTATAGTATTGATAGTGCGTGTACACCTGCATGCTCAGTATCACCGCCTACCGGCATTGGGCCGCTTCTACAGCCGGTACTTCTTAAAGGCCAGATCGTGTCAGCCCGCATGCATGGACAGGTCAATGCCAGCTCTCGTGTACTACATGAGCATGCCGCAACAATACACGACATGTTCTCGATTGATACCGCCATATTTATCAACCATAAGTACAGCTGCAGTGGTGTCTTCAACTTCATTCTCCCGAGATAGAAGACAGATCATCATTATACAGGGTATGCCTACACAGCTGTTGGTGAAATGGTGTGTTTTGGTTGAAGCTGTAGAATAAGTCAGGCGAACAGTTCTATTCCTGTTGGTTGTTTTGAATATGCTCAAAATCAGGTTATAAGAATTTCCAACTCAACACACAAGTCAACTATGTCCTCACCGTCACAAGATTCATGACCATGACATATCCAACTGGACCAGGGAGGAAGAATACATAAAAAGCACGAGTTACACAGAGCTCACTGACTTGTCAGTCTGGCTAGGTAGGTTCTGGCCTGGTGCTTAAATCTGGCTTTGGAAAAAAATCATGCTATCAGGTTCGGCCTCTTTTCTCTGTGCTGCGCCGACAAGTACGCAAACAACAAACCAGTTCAGGTGGGTTAGCTGCTGTTATTTCACAGAGTCGTGTCTCCAGCCGGTGGCTATGTGCCGAGCTGACCGGTGTAATCTTGGCTGCTTTCTCTTGGACTCGCATGTATAATATTAGATTACATGTTAGCAGCTGAGCAGGACAGAATCATAGTAAATGGCGCTCTATTGAGTCTCTTGCGCTATGGTGCCTCGATGTACTTATGCATACGGCCTAACGATGGTGTTGATGGATTGGTCGCTAATGAGTCAGATTTAACCGGTCATCTGTTTTAATATTAGTCACGGACCTGCCCAATATTCCTCCATTGCTCCGGCATTACTAGTTCCCCCGCTAAAAACTAAACGAGTCACCGGCATAACAACCACCTTTGACCAGCAGCAGGAGGACCGCACTGTTACAGTCTTTGTGAATTCATTAGCACAGCAGCATTAAGTAACAGCAGCATTGAGTAACAGCAGCATTGTCATTGAGTAACAGGCTAGTTTGCATTTGTGGTCCGTTTAGCAGTGCTGATGATCTGGCACACTCTCTCCGGTAACGTGATAGTAGATACTATTGTGGAAGATTCCTCTAGCATGAATCCTTCACTTGAAAGCACGGAAACAAATGCATATGAAGAGGAGACAAAATCAAGAGGGCGGGCGATGCAAATCACCAGCATCACCACCAGCACTACCGCCGTGTATTGCAAACGTACCTTGTTCATCCAGTTGCCTTTCCACCAGGAACACGTTGTTTGGTAGCTTGTGATTCTTGTCTGGTTCGGAGAAGAGTACGTTGAAGCGTTCACCTGCATTGAATGTCAGGTAGTGGCTTGGTGCTTTCTTCACGGCGTTCTTGGCTGTGGTGACAAACCGTGGTTGGTCTTGGGCCGTTACCTAAATACGAGATCCGGACAACTATGTGTCATTATTTGAGTCCAGGTTCAAAAGGTGGCTTCCGCCATTATGTGAACATTTTTTTACCTATCCATATACCATGACATGGCTGTATTCCAGCAGATCACTGTTCAAATAAACCTCATTCACAAATCTTCATCCATCACAGAATTATGGCGGTTTGACAAAACTGTTTGCACATCTCTCAAAAGTCTCCATACAATACAGTGAACCGTTTCGAATACACTTTTCAACACTACACACTACTACACAAATCACTTTTCGGATCTGGAGGCTCAATCGCAATAGATGATAGATCTGACGAAAAACATAATTGTACCAAAGAAGAGAACAACCCCCCCCCCCCCCCCCCCCCAATGTTGCACAGGGGTCATGTGGGGGTCATGACAGGGGTCATGTGGGGGTCATGACAGGAGTCATGTGGGGGTCATGACAGGGGTCATGTGGGGGTCATGACAGGAGTCATGTGGGGGTCATGACAGGGGTCATGTGGGGGTCATGACAGGAGTCATGTGGGGGTCATGACAGGAGTCATGTGGGGGTCATGACAGGGGTCATGTGGGGGTCATGACAGGGGTCATGTGGGGGTCATGACAGGGGTCATGTGGGGGTCATGACAGGGGTCATGACAGGGGTCATGACAGGGGTCATGTGGGGGTCATGACAGGGGTCATGACAGGGGTCATGACAGGAGTCATGTGGGGGTCATGACAGGAGTCATGTGGGGGTCATGACAGGGGTCATGTGGGGGTCATGACAGGAGTCATGTGGGGGTCATGACAGGGGTCATGTGGGGGTCATGACAGGAGTCATGTGGGGGTCATGACAGGAGTCATGTGGGGGTCATGACAGGGGTCATGTGGGGGTCATGACAGGGGTCATGTGGGGGTCATGACAGGGGTCATGTGGGGGTCATGACAGGGGTCATGACAGGGGTCATGACAGGGGTCATGTGGGGGTCATGACAGGGGTCATGACAGGGGTCATGACAGGAGTCATGTGGGTGGTACATGCCCTAACTTACTTTAAAAAGTAATTGCAAAGTTTCAGGATATTCGGATATTGATATTCGGATATTGATATTCGGATATTGATATTCGGATATTGATATTCGGATATTGGTAAGTGCATGTAGTGTTGACTTACTTTGTGGTGCTTGCGCTGCTTTTCGACTAGCTTCATTCGCTCGGCCTCTTTCCTCTTGTGCTCCTTGGCTTCTTTCTCACGTTGCTTGGCTGCCTCTCGCTCTTCCTTCTCTCGTTTCTTGGCGTCCTCCTTGGCTTTCTTCTCATCGATTACCTTCTGCTTTTCCGCTTCTTTCATCTGTTTCTTCGATCGCTTCGAGAGTTTCCGCTTTGGTCCGCCATCCTGGCCGACTCCATTCTGTCCCGCAGTGCCAGCGTTGGGTGCGCCTGCTCGCAAAGGTGCTGGGTCATGATCCAAAGTTTCATCATTGGACCACTCATCACTGTCTCCGACAACATCCGAGAACGAACCAGATCTGCACATTACAAAAGCAAAGTCAAAAATAGTATTTTGGTTGTATTATTTTTTGTGTCAGCGTGCCCGGACAGCTACAGTGGTAGCAGTTTCGACCTTGTTAGGTCTCATCAGCAAAGCTAACCCACCATGTCCAGTGAATTTTAACCAGCTCCAAGCATCAAAGTCAAAGTGCTCTAACCGCATGCGAGAAACACAATGAGATTTACACACGGACAGATAACTTTGTCCACATATGAGGCACATGTTTTTGGGAGTGTACGGTCAATCCGCTCAACAGACTGAAAATTCATAGGAACGACCGGAAACTCCGTTATATGCAGAGAAAGGCACCGGTGCAATGCGGCCATTTCTTCACATCCTCTCAGTCCGACACACTTTTAAACATACACAAACACCTTCAACGTCAAACCGGTAAATCTAGGTATGCAATTTAAAGCTTAGCTTTGAAGACGAAACAAACCTGTCTGAATTTCCGAACCTTGTCAACCTGCTGAGGGCGCCGTGAGCAGATCCACAGGATACACTGGTTACTGTATGGTATACCCCCAGCACTCACCGGTCAATGTCAGCCACTTCATTGTACTCTTCCTCTTCCTCAATCTCTTCCACAACGTCTTCACCGGCACCTCCCTGCAAACGCCATGCAAGAAAGTTCAACTAATTGATCATGGATAACAGAGCTGTTGTGTGGCAACCGTCTTGATTCATCCCTTCAGTCATAACAATATTAAAGTAATGTGTATAATGCAAACAGGTGCCATTTGGATAAAGAACGCAGGGCTTTTTTAAACGTGGTACGTCTCAGTCTCTAAAAGCAAACGTATGAATCTGGTCACACTTGGATTGTACATGTGTTCGGGTAGACACATGTTTGAAGCACATCCTCCCATGCGTGCGTACGATAGGGTGACCAAGTGGTCTGGACTGTGCCATGGAGTCAAGGGCTCACCACACTCATATAGAATACACTGCGTAGTAGGCATGGACACCCCTTAAACACCATGCTGTCCACACGAGCCCAGGCGAAAACTAGCCAACTTCACAATCACGCCTGGCGTTAGCTCACACATGTGGCCGGGTTTATATAACTTTATTCAGATTACAATGTATAGTGAATATGCAAACACATTGTATATGTAATCTGTGATGTAATTGCACTGAAGTCGCATAGCACACATCACTACTACAGCGCTACACAATCATGAATGAACCCGGCGACGTGTGTGTTAACTAGCGTTAGGCCTGATGCGGCTTTAGACGTACGAACACCGTCTGCTGAGTGTACCATGCACTGGTGCAAGCCGTCATGACGGCATGAGATGAGATTCAATTGAGCATGACCGACCAGTAGGATCCATCCGCTGAACATCAACTCACCTTAGTACACCTGGCCCAGTCCTATTGGCACATTCTTAGGTGGCAAATTATTTTAAAACACTTGCAATTTTATGTTCTAGTAGTGAGCACACACACCAGTGGAACTTACACCGCATGGCACATCATCGTACAGCTCGTCTGATGGGGGTGGTAGTGTCCCATGGCCATCCTCAATCTCATACACCCTGTGACCAGAGAGACAGGCAGAAGCAAAAAAAAACAAAAACACACACCATAGTCCGGCCTCCGATGTATGCACCGGTACGTGCAAGTGGAGTTATGACAACAAATTCCAACTCCCAGTGGCTGACCAAGCAGTGAGCACTGCTGCTACATGTGCCTACATGATGCCAGAGGCTAAACTAAAAGCCAGCCTTTCTCAACCCCGCGTTTCCCGAGTGTTGAACTATACAATCCGATAGTGTTTGGTGATGTCATTTGATCACAATGACCTAAAATGACAAACAATATTGCATCCAGTCAAGTGTAGAGCACCACATTCCCGGTCTGGCTGTGCTCTTTGGAAAGGCTGTTTTATATCGCTTTCCTGATGCACGAAGTTAACCTGTCCTTTGCAAAGTTCTCTTCGAATCCTTGATACAATGCCTTCCATCCTTACAACTGCCCAATGCTAGTGCTGAGTCAAGCTAGCAACGTTTGACGTCACAACTCGGTCCATGGTTGATTTAAATCTAGTATTGATCATTATCGAAACAGTGAGAGTGGCTAACCAACGAATTCACCATCGACGTTTTTTTATTGTTCTTTATTGTCAGAAACTTGAGAAAGATACTTACATATCATCCGGGACAACACCACCACTGCCATGCACGGTATTAGCAGCAGCAGCAGCAGCGGCGGCAGCCTCTGCCTCTCTCGCCTGGTTTGCACGGACTTGTGATGCGACTTCGTCCACGTCATCGTAGAAGTCTTCATCGATGCCTTCCTCCTCTGCATCTTCGGGCACCAGTGGTGGTGGCGGTGGCGATGCAACTCCCACTAGCAGTGTGCTGGTTGATGTAGCAGCTGATGGTGCAGCGCTTGCAGGTGTTGATGAGTTACCTCCCATGCTGTCCAACACATTATCCAAGTCACCCTCTAGCTCATCGTCGGGTCCCATTTCAACAATTTCCGGTGCATGACTCTCATCCATGGTTGCTTCGTACAGACCGGAGTCTTCCTCATCATCGGCCACTTCATCAAACGAGTCCGACTCGTCACCTGGTTGTGGAGGCGGAGGTACTGATCTGGGTGGACTATGCTGTCGCTCTGGCCGCAGTGTTCCTGGTCTGCTCATGGACGGCACTCGCTTGGGCTTATTAACGTCCTTCGGTGGACGAATTGGAGTTGGTGATTCTGATTTGGCTGGTCGGGCTGGCACGGCGTGGCTGGAGGGACTAGCCTCACCTGGCCGCGGGGGCAGTGGGGAATTCCCTGTTTTGAGGGCCGGCGATGGAGCCAGTGCCAGTGGATTAGGGGCCAGCACTGGAGTTTTGGCAGGTTCTGGTGTGCTACTTTGTCCCAGCTTCTGTCCCTCGGGTGGCAGACTTGGCTTGCTTGCTATGGGTACTGGAGGAGGCTGAGCAGGATCCACAGACTTGAGCGGAAGCCGGCGGAATCGTCGCGCCATCGTGCTTTCACCCGTCGGTGTCGGCGAGGATGGTGTTCGCGGTGAGCCAAGTGGTGGTGTTGACACCGTCACTGTCAACTGGCTTGCCTTGGAGATAAGGGCCGGTGAAGACGGCGGCTTGGGGCCCTTGGGCTGCGGCTTGTTTTGAGCCGGTGCTAGTTTGGTCTGAGATCCTGGCTTGCTGGCAAGCGGTGGTTTGCTCTTCGGTGCAGGTTTAGAAGAAACAGCTGGAGGCGTTGATGGCTTGGCTGCAGGTGTTTTCTCACTGGGCGGTACCACCTCAGAGTCTCTCTTCCGAAGCTGTGGCTTGTTTGCTGTGATGAAGCTAGCCGCAGGAAGACGGAACCCACCGGCAACGACGCCCGCTGGCGGTCCGGACTTTCGGTTCGCGGGATCGGGCAGGCGTTGCTGATTATGCTCGCTTGGTTCGGGGGCGTTGGATGCGCTCTGCGTCGGATACTGGTGCTGAGGAGGCGCATGCCTCAGAGACAAGCGGTGCTGGTTTCGTGCTTCTTCTATCTTCCCCGTGCTTCTCAGTGGAACTTGCCACTGACTGGGCGGTTGCCCGTCAGCGCTTCCATTCTGTCCGGGCAGGTCACCAATGACTGTAGTCACTGGACGTGCTGGCTTTCTAGGCGCCGATGCCTTGCCCGCGGGCTGTGGCCGCGCAGCGACCGGCTTCATGGCAGGGGTCTGCCTCTGCTGCTCCTCGATAGGATTCTCGTAGAGGTCTTCGTCGATCGCACCCGACTGCGGCTCTTCGTAAACGTCCTGTGAGCACAGAAAACAGGTGCATATGACAGCATGCACCACCAGGATTATCATCACTATCACCTGGGGCTAATCAGCATAGGCTCCAAGGTGATCACACTACTCACATGCATTCTACTTAACTGTTACATGCAGCGTAATTGTCATGTTCACCGAGCATAACTATAGTAAAACCTGGTTTAAGCAACCACCCCACGGTGCAAGCAAAAGTGGTCGTTAAAGCCAGGTGGTCTTTAGAACCAGGTCCCACAGTGTCTGTGTAGAACTGTCGGTGCATGGAAAACGGTCGTTAAGAGCAGGTGGTGGTCGCTAAACACAGAGGTCGCGCTTACACCAGGTTTTACTGTAGTACCATATGCATGATAGCCCTGGACACGCCGCTAAATGCTACCATCGGATTCTGCCTTGAAGAAATCCAATGCAGTGCGTCCAAAAACGAAACGGGGCAGTGCACGGCCTTCTAATCGCTGGGCAGAGAAAGCTACTTTGAGAGTATGCACAATCGCATGGCGTCCACACCAGGGTAGGTCGCCGTCCATCACGGTACACGATGAGAGTGCAAGTAAGGGTATTGCCTATCGTGATCCTGCTCTGTCCTAGCGCAGGCTTCCCAATAAAGATGCGCATGAGCTCTACATCATACACGTACGTTCTTCAATGCAAATTATGTACACATCCGGTAAATTGTTTTCGGACATGCATACTGCATATTGTACACTGGATAAAGATCATTAGTTTTTAAATCCAGCTTTCCGAAATACTCGTAGTATTATGCATGACCAATCTTTTCGTTCCACTGGCCATTATTGCCTTGGAACACTGTCTGAGTTTACCTGGTTACACCGGCCTTTACTTCGCACGCGCTAACCACCAGACCACAGCGAAAGCTAGCTGCCCACTCAAACGTCGGTCACTTGGCGTCCGCTTCTAGCAGCAGCTTTGGCCTAGTGTCGCCTTGCAAGCATTAGGTTGGTAACCTCGACAGGTACCTACTAATATTATAAGTAAATGAACGTCGGAACCAGGTGGGCTTAGACTAGTTTGACTGGTCCTTCGGAAGTAACGTTAGTTCCTACGTCGCTTCGTTCTTATCCTTCCTGCTGCTTTCTGCTGGTATACTTCTAGTCTCCCCACCGCTTCACAAGGACGAACATCATCGAGTCTAAAAGATCGGAACTGCTCACGGTCGTTGTTCTTGATTCTCTTGCCTGGCTACCTACGCCATTGTGCATTGAAATGAATGTATCCCTAGCTTCAGTGACTCTAGTGATATTTTAGTTCGACCTGCGCAGAGCAGTCTACCACGTTAGCTACGCGATTACGAATATGAGGTGTGCGCAGCCAGCAGTCATTCACACCAGTCCTGAATGCGTGGCAGACAATGGTATGGAGTGTGGTCGTAATGTTCGGTGCGGCCAAACGCAACGGACGAACTGCACTACGAGTACAGCTCACACACGTGCTTTTATCTGGCACGTCCTTGGTCTAGCTCCTTCTGTCTGACGCTGGGTGCGACCAACCAACCGTGAAAATCACGCCGTTAACGTTGTCACGGCCAAAAAGTTCTGGGTGAACCGGAGAGTACCGCGCCTTTCAGGGTGAAAAAAAGGTGTGTTGACTGTTGTGAGGCGAAAGTGCGAACAAAACAGACGAAACTGAGCAAGCACAGGCAGTAGTATGCTGCCCGGCTAGTTTCACAGACAGAATGCCATCACTTACCATCCTGTCTGGCAGTAGGAGTTGCAGTCGAGCCAAACGTCCAACCGCCTTGTCCCGTTATCGCGCTGTAGATTTTCCGCAAGCGCTGGTCCTCGACCTACCCACAACGCATCCCTATTTGCAACCAGCAACGAGCTGTTAGCCACTCGACGCAGGTCAGACCACGAAGATCTGGCCAAGGAAACTACCGCAGTTTGGGAGGAAGTGGCACAGAAACAGCGGCAATGGTTCCTCTCTCCGTCTCAGTTTGCTCTCGAGTCTCTCTCTCTCTCTCTCTCTCTCGCAGCCCCTGTGCCCTCTCGACACGGAACCGAGGGCGAAACGAACAAATCAATTAGCTCTAGGCCAAAACATGTGATATCTCCAAATTTCCGTTTGCTTCATACTCCATGGGCCACATACTGTATGGTACATAGCTCACTCTTACTCAGTGTGACTCAGCCAGGGCAGGGCACATGGCTTTTCTGGTGTCCGGAGTGCGGGGCGTTCGAGGCACCAAGCATCACGGCTCCAAATCTTTTTCATTAGAAATCTTTCTCATGTGCTTGACATGTATTTGCTTGCCCAAGAACAGTGAAGTCAAGCGAAAAGTGACCGCAGTCACGGGCGTGCATTGCAGGCCTGCTTTGAAGATCTCTATGCCTCAACTATACACTAACGTTATTTTGTAGTGTTCTGTAATACATGCCCTGGTGTAGCCTGTGCGTTGGGTCCGGTAGTATCCAGTGGCGATATCAATCTGTAGACCGTAGTCAGAAACGACTGCGTGGCTGGATGAGAATCTGGTGAACTGGCTTCAGAAGTAACCAGTATCAGTAGATCGACGGACGTCTAGAAGAGGAAAGTCAATACGAGTTACACTTATAGTCGACGTTCCGGGTCTGTTTTGATGGCAACAGCCATCATGCATGGTCATGGATGAAACAAGCGCGGACGGGTGACGTGATTCTGACTGCTCCGCACGGGACATGGCGAAACTGAGTGATGGTGGATCATCATGATCAGTAGTGAGGTTTTGCATTCCGAAATTCGGCAAAAAGATTCGGCACGCGGGAGCGAGGTCGAAAATGCACACGAAGATTCGGAGTGTTTGTTCGGAAAAAGCTCACTTTGCCGAAAATATTTTTCGGATGCATTTTCTTGTAGAAGAGCGCTAGCGCGTGATTTATTCAAAGAGGTTTCTTATCTCGGCATCGCTTGGCAGGCGTCTTTGGCAACATAGCATCGTCAGCTACCTCTGATTGCTCCTCTCCACTGCCTGTCGACTCTCTTTCGCCTGGAGTGTCCTCACCGTCATCTGTTATTATTATTATTATTATTATTTAAATTTTGAATAGGGCAATCCCCACAGGCCTAAGGCCTTTTTACAGGGTACCCTATGTGGTCACGTATAGATTTGCGGAATAGTGAAAGCGAGGAGCAAGAGCGAATGTCAGCTGGAAGAGAATTCCAGCGGTCAGAAGCCAGAAAGCTCAAAGCGAATAAGCCATAACGAGTGCGTGCTTTAGGCAGAGCAAGTGAATCTATGGACTGGGAACGTGTGTGGGCAGCTGTGTGGCTGAAAAGACTATGGCGACACGCATAAAATTTGACTTGGCTATGGAGTTGGTTTTTCTGAGGCGACTGAGGAGGCAGGTTTGGCCCTCGCACTGCGGTCTCTTCTAACGCACATCTTGTTTCCATGCATCTACAGTACAGGCAAGAGTAAATAAGCGTCCGGTAGCTTATATTACTCTAGCTAGCTACAAGGTCAAGGTATGTGATCGCTTCCCGGCTCAAGGACGAATATCAAGTCGACACCTAGTCAGTCTCGTCGGCCCGCTGCATTTAGAGAGCAATCCGTCCCACCCCAGCTTCCCGCGCCCGTGTTGTCCTTCCGGACCATACTCTGCCGCATTATTGGAAGGTCACACTCGACTTTCTCTGTCGACATCATCATCATGATCTTCATCGCATGGTTCACTGTGACCGTTGAAACATCGTTCTGGATTCGAGAGTCGAGATTGCTGCATGTGCCTACAGACCCCACTCAGCCTCAGGGACAGAAGGTCTGATAAGTGATAGCACAGCAAGGAAGTCAGGCAACTGGCAGCCCCAACGTTTACTGCATGGCTGTGGGAATGGAGAAACCACACTGCCCTGCATGCAGTTCTAGGCTACGTAATTATGTCGAATGACATGTACATAATCTACATCACCATTGCACTACAATGTACTACAATGTACTAGTACTTGAAGTACTAATGTCTTGTACAATGGCATGTCCATGTATGGCGCAATGTATTGCGAAACAATCGGTTTCCCATAGTCAGTACATGTACTGCATACAATGTGGAGAGGAGGATAGCTGGCTCCTGTAACTGGGACAGTTAGGACTTATTTATGTAGTAGGTGCTTGTCATTGATGTCATGTGGTCGAGAGTAGAATACCAAGAACCGGTGAGGTGTGGTGAAACTACATTCAGTTTGCGTTGTTGTTTAGGACTTTTTTCTTTTTTCTTTTACAGAATGCACCTCCTACTGATAGACCATAACAAAGAGAGGAGAAGAAGAAGACGAAAGAAAATAATGATCGATACAACAAAGGAGAAAGACAGACAAAGTAGTAGGGGCTCTCAGGGAGCCTGTGTCGGTGAAGCGGGACTAGCAACGCCGACCTAGGGTCTTGGCGTTAGCGCTATCCAGCGCACCATGGACGGGATTACGAAACACATGTAAATAGATAAGTGAGGGGAGGGAGCTGATTGTAGATATATGGGGAGTTGCAGCGAGTCTGTAGCCCATTACCAGCGGCTTCGTCGTAGGTGCTGATGCACCTTGCCCTTGAACGACTGGAGGGACGTCAGGCGTGGCGGAGACTGCAGCACAGTTGGGGGCAAGTTCCACTCATCAATGATGCTGTAGGGGAAGCAGCGTCGCACGTAATCAGGAGAGGAAGCCGGGAGGACGTTCTGCAGCGGACACTCGTGGCGCACCGAGTGGTCGGATCGAGTTCGAGGACATGTTGGTGGAGGAAGCTGTGGGGGGGGGGGGGGGGGGGGACCAGCGACGTTAGTTGCGGTGGCTAGCCTTTTCCCAAAGGTGCTCGCCCTTTTTGGCCCTTTTTGGAAAAGCCCATTTCTTTCGCCCTTTATTGCGTTTTTTCGGTGAATATCGCCCTTTTTGAGCTTCTTTAGCTGAAAAGTGCTAAAATCTGTTTGCTCATGCGTGCGATCACAGTTTCCGAGTGCTCGATGGGCCTTGGCACGCCGCTTTTTTCGGGGGGCAACAGGTTGGTGAAGCTTGTACCCGGTGTACACAATGCTGTAAAAAAGTGGGGTTTTTGAACTTTACTTCCTGTTTTGCCTTAGGGTTTACCGGGTGTTAGCGGCCGTCGTGAGTTCCCTTCGGGAACGGACACGATAATTTACTTTTTCTTTCTTTTCTTTTTTTGCCTTTCGTGGACCCATAAATGGAAGAGTGCGTATTCATTTCTCAGCTTGGGTTCATATCTGAACATGTATCGATATATCGTGGCTGCCGGCTATGCTTCACTGAAAAAAGAACACTTTTTGCCTGTTTTCACTAGGGAGTAGTACAATACCATATATTATACTACTCCCTGGTTTTCACTGAAAGAAGAGCACTTTTGTAGCATATTTTGAGGGACTAAGTTATTATTATTATTATTAAATTTTTGATAGGGCAATCCCCACAGGCCTAAGGCCTTTTGACAGGGTACCCTAAGAAATGAAGAACAGAATGACGGAAGGTATGCAGGGAAGAACTTAAGCGGACCTCGGCTGGGAGGGCATTCCAGCGGTCAGAGCCAAGGAAAGTGACAGAAAATAAACCATAGCGACGTTTGGCTGTCGGAAGAGCAAGGGAAGAGGGCACTTGAGAGCGGGTGCGAGAACTAGTGCAGGTAGAATTAGAGCGGAGACAGAAACAGTTAGCAACAAAGACACTAGCCAGATCACGAAGCGCAGAGTACGTTAGAACGTACAGCTTGAATTGGTACCTGACAGACAAGGGAATGATATGGTAGCGGGCAATAACAAGGGACACATCAGATAGGCGGGGCATGCAAAATACAATACGCAGCGCTCTATTGCTAAGTCGGACAACACGGTCATGGAGGGAGACAGACAGGCAGTGAGCAAAGGAATTAGACCCATACTCAAGTTTGGGTCTAATTCCTTTGCTCACTGCCTGTCTGCCTCCCTCCATGTGTGAATTAACACTTAAAAGAGCACCTTTGGCTTTGGGAAAGGGCTAGCGATGGCCCGGCCAGACACATCAGTTTATACTTGTACATATAGCCTAGGCTATAATAGCTGAGGGCGGCGACCAATCTCCTTGCTGCCAAACTCTGGAGGAGCGGGCATCAGGGCCAAGAATGTGGAGGGCGCGTCTCTGCACTCGATCGAGAAGCCAGGCGCAGATGGCTTGAAGCTGCTCCCATCCATACCAATGGTGCATACTCTAGGACTGGCCTCACAAAACCTCTGTAGACGGTTCGTTTCCCAGCACCATCGAGTACGCGAGCAGCTTTGCGCAGGAAGCCCAAGCGAGAATTCGCCTTGAGTGCTGTGTTGTGGAGGTGGGTCTTGAAGGAGAGGCCCGAGTCAAATGTGATGCCGAGGAGTTTTGCCTCCAATAGCTCAGACACAGTGTGATCTCCAAACGTGAGGTCCATGATAGGCCACCTGTGCCGCTGATGGGCTATCGTCATGAGCTGTGACTTTGTGGGCTCAAACCTGATCCGCCACTTCTTGCCCCAGTCATGGAGCGCATCCAGGGTGGCTTGTAAACTTTTCTTACTGTTTGGGAACAGTTCCGGTGATCCAATACAGGCGTAGACCGTTGTATCATCGACGAAGGTGGCCATGCCGGCCAGTGAACATCCAGGAGCTAGGCACTGCTCCGCATCGTTTACAATAACATAGATAAGGAACAGAGTTGGCCCCAGCTCCCCTGGGGTACTGCCGACTCTATAGGGTAGGGAGACGAACTCTGGCCATTCACAACAGCTTGTAGCTTCCTGAGGGACAAATAATCTGTCAGCCAGGTCAGGGCTCTGCCACGGATGCCGAGTGTCTGCAGCTTGTACTTGTAGGTGACTCCGATGTGTGAAACCTTGTCGAAGGCGCCTGCGATGTCTACCGCAAGAACCATCGAGCATCCTCCACTTCCAGTGGTGAGTGACTCATGATTCAAGGCAGTTAGGAGGTCGGCTGTTCCTAGGCCGCGTCTGAAGCCAAATTGGCGTGCAGAGAGGAGGTGGTGGCTGGTGATTAATGATTCCTTCCATGACCTTGGAGCAGATGGACAAGAGGGATACCGGGCGATAGTTTGCTGGCAGGGAGCGAGAGGCCTTCTTGTACACTGGTACCACATTCGCTGTTTTCCAGGCCGCTGGCTGAACACTGCTACTGCACTAAGTCTAGGCTAGACGTCGGAGTGCATGATCCAGGCGAGATCAGGCCAGCCAGTGCCAAGTAAAGGAATTGCTCACATCAAGAGTACATAACCCCCAATGCTCTTGCTCACATGTATTGTATAATTCCACATAAAGGATCAATTCCCACTGGCATCTGTGGCATCTCTCTACACCACTCTACTAGGCTCGGTGTCTACGTCCGCACCAGGGAGTTGTGAACAACTCCCTGGCCTTCATGGCAAACGACGCCCTTCAAGAACCTCGTCTTTTCATACCCATACCCGGGTAGATCTACGGTAGATCTACGCGGTGTCCCGGATCTACAGACTCAGTGACTATGTACAGGTACAAGCACAGTCATGCATGTGCATGACGATGTAGATCTTAGTCAGTCTTGATGTGAGGCATATCCCCTCCCTGGCCTGACAATGACATGACGCGAGTCATCTGGTGATGGGCCACTGATGGCCTGCCTAGCGCCTAGCATGCCTGATCAAAGAGCCATGCTGCATGCATGCCTACACACGAAAACAATGTACGTGTAATTATACACCCAAAGCATGCAGAGTTTCAAGCTTCGGACACCTTCGCCTTCGGTCGCTCGGCCCGGATCGATCGTCACAATCGATACCGGCTCTTGCTCGAGAGATGCACGCTATTTGTTGTCCTGGAAGAGCTCGTAGCGAAAAGCAGCTCTTGCTCCCACATTTTCGTATGATCTCTTTTATCTGTTTTATATGATTGTCCTGTAGACTCTACACAACTGTGTACTTTGCAGTCAGTCCAGTTGCGAAAGCTCGTCGTTTCTTGAAGTTCAAACTATTGCAGACGCTTTTATTGAAGCCAGTCAGTCAGGGATTCCATCCTTGGCCAATTTCCTTTGCCTTCATGTTGAGGAAGTAACTCCTGAAGATGTCTTGGCTGATGCGCCGGTAAGAAATTCTGTTTCTCCGTTTCGTGACCATTTGATTTCCTTTCTTAGTTTTGAGTTTGACACTTTGGGCCTTGAGGAGAAAAGTGACAACAGTGACCAAAGTGGCTTGTGACCACTGGTGACATGCGTGATAGCCTCACGGTCATACGTGCGAATCCACTAGCTGTCAGATAATGTCGATTGGACTGATACCTGCATGCCGTGATGCACTTGACCGTGGCATAAGGATTAGGTGGACACAACTTTTGTGCTGCTTTTCAAAAATAATTGCCATTCTTGAGAAAGAATTTTCTGGGGGGGTTTTAGGCGTGAGGACTTGCTGATCGTCTTCTCTTGTTGAGAAGCGAGAAGATATGTCGCGTCCATCTTTCCGCTTTCCCGGGGGTCTAAGCTCTCTTCTAACAACGTACGCTGTGCTGATCGTTGCACTTGACAAGAAATGAACTTTCTCAAGATTTCTGCGTTTGAATTACCTGTTTCTGTTCAGCAGCAACCCAAAGAAGGGAAATCCAAGTGAGGATGCTAAACACATCTACCTCGACCATACTTCTAGTCAGTTTATGCCTGTAGACAGGGTGAAAGAACTATCCGCGCTGCCGAGGCTTGTGGATTTGAACGAATGGCTTGCTACTAACAGTGAGTAGTGGTGCAAAAAATCTCCAGCGATATTAGCACTGGTATGGTGTGCACATACCTTGGATCTGAGTTAAAATAATGGTTAACTCATAAAGACTGTTCTTCTGTTCTTGCACTCTAGGTCATTTCCTTTAGTTGAACCTGTCTTGAACGTTTCTGGTTTGTGTGTGCATGTGCACGTGTAGATATTTGACCACTGCATAAAGAATATTTGCACATCCTTCATAACTTGCAGTTACCTCAGCAGGCCGCATGTTACCATTTAAAGCTTTGTATCCATTTTTAATTTACTTTTGGTTTACTGATGTAATCATGTGTGCGTGTTTTCTGTATGAACTGTGTTTGTAGCTATCGGCTTCTTCAATCACATTAACCAGTGTTATGGAGTGTTATCAGAATTCTGTGCGCAGTCTTGCCCGACTATGTCAGCTGGTTCTACGTAGGTCACTCAAATGCTCACTTCTGCGTGTGTGTGTGTGTGTGTGTGTATGTGTGTGTGTGTACGTATGTGTGTGTATGTATGTGTGTGTGTGCACTTCTCTCTCTCTCTCTCTCTCTCTCTCTCTCTCTCTCTCTCTCTCTCTCTCTCTCTCTCTCTCTCTCTCTCTCTCTCTCTACGCATGCACACACAGCACAATACAGTAATGTCCATTAGTAGATGAATGACAGGTCGTGAACGGACCAACAGTGTTGCAGTCACAGAGAATTGAACTAACTTCGAATGACGAGTATGGTCCTGGTGGCTGCGAAAATCTTGGCCGCTATGTTAAAACTTAGCAACACATGCACATGTGCATGCACACAAACACACCACACACACACACACACACACACACACACACACACACACACACACTCTCTCTCTCTCTCTCTCTCTCTCTCTCTCTCTCTCTCTATTTACTCTACGTCCAGAAAACAACTGCAGTAGGAAGAACGACAGCAACTGAATCGTGACTGCACACTGGCTGTCTGACTTTCACACAGACACCGCTTCACACAAACTGGTGCACACCTATTGCCGTGTGCAATTCAGCTCAGCCTGAAAGCTGCTCAGGGATGAATACTCCTGCTGTGCATTGTGGTGCCAGACTGATCTGCCCATTGCTTGTGTACTTGCCACTAGTATTTTCTGGCAGTAGTTACATGACCCGTCGCGTCACGCATAGTTCTAGCAGCTGGGGGCAATACTTAATAACTGTACATGCTCATTCTAGTGGCCTCTTGCATTATCATTATTTTTCATTTTTTCTTCCTTTTTCTCCTTGTTTGCTTGTTTGTCAGGCAATACACTTGGCAAGAAGAGAAAGGCAAGAAGGTCAAGTTATCAGCCCCAAAGCACATTGATTTAGTGATGTCACTGATTGAACACTTGCTCACTGACGAGCAGACGTTTCCCACTAAATTCGGTGAGTTGCTTTGGCAATGGCATGGTGTGCTATCTCGGTCATGCCGATTGTGTGTCTTGACTTTTGGTGACGCAAAGGTTCACTTTTTACCAAGCGTGCTCCTGAATTCATCTCTTTGGTATCCCAGTACTGTAAGTCTACAAAATTTCGGCGCTTTTAAATTTCGGCCTCCAGGGGCTAAAACACGTTTCGGCCACATTAAAACTTCAGCCTGTGCTGTTGCTGCTTGTATACACTGCCACATTGAACCTTGCAAAACAAAATTTCGGCCAAAACTGCCCAGGCCAAAAATAGCCGAAAATAAATATGCACTCAGATGGTCTTGGTCTTTCTCTTTTGTATAAATAAATATGCGCCGAATATTTGTTGACTTCAGTACTTATTGTCTCTATTTGGACACTTGTCAGCTCTGATTTTTGTTGAGAGTGGCTGGTATGTGTGCTTGTGCCCAGTTTGCACACAGGTATTTAAAATGTGTACATTCCAAGTTCTTTTTTTCGTGTTTTTTTTTGTATGGTACTAGGGAACATCACTGGCATTTCAGAGAACCAGATCAAGGTTGACGGTAAGAACTGAGCCTGCTGAGTCTTGTACCAACTTCCGCTTTTTGATACTCTTGAGAAAAGGACATTCATGTACATGTACAGTCGTGGCAAGTGAAATCCGACACTTGGCATAAGGGACTACACCATGCAGTGTGCAGCCCTGCATACGTAATACGCGTGTTACATGCAACTTTTATCTGTCTTGTGACAGAACTCGTACCCATCACAGTCAAGGTTCACAAGAAAAGTTCAAAGGTGTTGGCGGAAATGAATGGGGACTGGATACCAATACTCTTTATGTGTACCATGTCTGTGAACTGTGTATCTACGCTGTGACCTTTCGACCTATTTGGGATGCATACGGCTCTAATGTACAATAATTAGGTACAGCTCATTACATCATTGATATCCATTTGTGGCCCTGTCCCCTATGGCAAGTGTCGGATTTCACTTGCCACGACTGTAATATGTACCTCTGTGAATGAGCGTTGGCGTAACAATTATTGTCTGAAGCATGAATGCAGTCAGTCAATGTGTGTGTATGTACGTGCATGCATACGAGTGTGTGTGTGTGTATGCGTGTGTGGCTGACTGTGCCCAAAGCAATGTGCGTTTCGACCCTGGACTTGGAAGTTCTTCGTGATCTGTGGTATATGCAAGGATTGGGCAGTTACCTGACACAAATCTTGATCTGTTTCAATTGGTTCTTGTACGCTCTCGCTACTGTAAAAGAAAATCAGTGGGTGTAATGCCAGTTCACTTGCAGATTTGAAATCTTCTCTTGCAAAACACGTACGTAGTGTGCGACTACTGTAAATCAACAAATTTTGGCTGGTGAGAAACTTTGGCCAATTGGATTTTTCAAAAAAGAAATCGATCGTTAGTTGTTGCTCTCACATGCAGCCACGGCTGAATTATGCATCATTTGCCTCTATGACAAACTTTGGCCTGCGATTTACTTTGGCCGGTTGTCACCAAGCGGCGAAATCAACGTAATTAAATCGCCAGCGAAAAGTAGTTGATTTACAGTATGTTCCTGGGTACATTATATGTGTCCTGTTAGGCTTCATTACAGCAGGAGGTTATCCTATTGGCTCTTCTTTTCCCTTTATTCCTCCTTTCATACCCAGGATCCGACTTCCCATCGACATTTCAGACTCAAATAAAGAAAATATTCAAGTACCTCTGCCAGGTAAGTTCGCCTTCTTGCACTTTGCCCGTTCTGTGAACTGAATAGTCTTCCTGCACAACTCCGTAACTGTTTTACTTGCGTCATTGTGCGCCGGATCTATTATTTAGTCATGCAAGAGGTGGTAGCAGGTACGCACTGTATGACCAGTAATGTTAACGAACATTTAATTCCAACGATTTAACGAATTTAAAAAGTTCGTTAACATTTGAAGTCGTTAGGTACTAAACGATATGTCATGTACAGTCATTTGCCAGTTTTGAGACAGAATTCGTTAGAATGTCACCTCGCTAACCCACAGAAATCCGGAGATCGTTAACTTTAATTGACGTTAAAGTATCTGGTCTTACAGTATACCAGTCCTGCTTGTAAGCGGAAGAATTTTTCCAGCCGTGCTGTGACCCATAGTTCATTGCCAAATCATGGCCTGGGACGAGGGAATATGGATGCATCATCCATGGAACATCGGCCGGAAAAAAATCGGCCTAGTGTGGACCAGGCTTTAGTCGCAAAGGTGTTGTAACTGGCGACCACTGGGCATAGCAGTTTGAATCCCCCGTATACGCGTACTCCGTTCCAACTACATGTATGCATACAGCACTTATGTTGAATTCATGATTTCCATACTGATACATGCTGTCGAGCATAATACACTCGCTCCACGTATCAGAATATGGTATTACTTTCTGGGCTCTTATTACTTATTAGAGAAATGCAATGTGCCAAGTTTAGCATGTTTGACCTACTTCAAAGTACAAGTTTTTTTGCGGATGTCCGATCGATGTGAAATCGAAGAGGTGTGCATCTCCTCAGATCCATGCCTTCTTTGAGCCAAGGAGGGAGGGAGTGTTTGTGTCTGATCCATTGCCTCTCGTTCACCTTTACGTTTCCAGGTTTTGGCACACATTCTGCACGGCCACTACCAGGAGATTGTGGATGTCAATTTGCGAGACCATTTCAACACGCTTACGGCACACTTCTTTGTCTTTGCCACCACGTTTCAGCTGCTGGAGCAGAAAGACCTTCAGCCCGTCGAGGATTTCATTGCAGCTCTACATGACCCAGAAGTACTGCGTGCATGACATTTGCCTCCTCGTCTCCAGCGCCACCTGGCACCATTGTACATACGTCCCTGAATTGGTGTTTGCCTGCCTTTGTTTTTGTATTCGCTACCGTCGTCGCTGTCCCTGTACATAGCTAGCTCGATGGTGGACTGGAAATTCATCCTGCTCTGCAGCTGCTTGCTTTTCCAGTCTACTATCCACTGACTGCTAACCATTCTTTTTGTCCGTCATTGCCTGATCTGCTGGTTGGCCCAGGCACTGTGGCTTTATTCTGTATTATCATACTGACCTCACTCTTCTTTCATCGTTGAACTTTCTTGCAGATATTGTCCTAATTTTTTTATAATAGAAGCACTGACATGTGCATACGTATGCTGTGTTGTTGCTTTCATCAGCATGCTGAGACCCCATCATCTGAATTATAACAAACACATGACTTCAGACTTCTTTGCTATACTGTATACATGCCGTTGAAGTACCGATAGAAAGCACCCCTAGACTCATTCACAGTCGCGGTTATAATTAGAAGCTGGAACAGATGAGCGCGTCCTGACTGTAGGTAGTGGCACATGTACAGATTGATGCCCTGGGAGTGGTAGGAACGCGGCTTGACGTGCACATGTACCACTGTGTGCAGGTTCAGTAGAACTGGTCCTGGATGCTAGTTTAAAACTGTTTTGCACTTTTGGTCAGATTTCAGTGAGCGCAACTATCCAGTGTGCAGCACAAGTCACGAGCTGCAGTCTGTCTATCCGTAACTTCTTTATGTCTCCAGAGTGACTGCTAACACCACAAATTGTGACAATGTCTAATTAGGCGAGACCAAAATAAAATCGAGATTCCCGGGCAGGACCCATGTGAAATTGGTGCGGGCGGGCGAATTTTTATTTTATTATTTCCAATGTATGTATGCATGCCATGCTGAACTTTTTTTTACAGTATTTTCTGGTAATTTTTATTCATTTTTTACTACAGTCCATTCAGAAAAAGATGGACTTCTAGCTTTTGGCCATAAATGGGTCAAACTTTGAGTTTTTTTAGAATTTTTTTCTGCAATCCCCTACAGTAAGATCGGGCGCCGAAGAACACCTCGCCGAAGAACACCCAGGCTGGAAAACCGGCAAATTTTAAGAACAGTCCAGGCTAGAATTATCAGATTTAAGAACACTAGATCTACATTGTACGTAGATCTACATTGTACATGTACATGAATGGGAGGTGTGTACATGTCATGTACACGTGTAAACAGTAACTGCTACATATACAGTCATTCCCATTTACGACACCCACTAGTTTAGAAGTACTACATTGCACTACATGTACATGTACATGACAAACGTCATGACGTCACTCGACTCGCCGCGCGCGCGCGTGTGAATAAGAACGGTCTGGCTAGAATCAAAAATTTAAGAACTTTCCTAGGCTGCGCTCGAGCCCCTGCGTTCTTCGGCGCCCGATCTTACTGTATGGAATCCTCTTCCAATTATGTTTCTGAAGTCTATTTGTCCAAAAAGCAAGCCATAAGAATAGGATATCGGCCAGGTTTTGCCCCAGAAGCATTGAATTTGGAAAAAACCATCAAAATCCAGGCCGTTTGACCCTGCCTGCAACAGTGCATTGTGGGGTTCGAACCCCACTTCAGGTACCCTTTTTGGACTCTTTTTCAAAGTTCAAATTTCGCAGCACTGCACTGTGTACAATGAAATCACGAAAAATCGCCAAATACGGGAGCTCGCCAGAGCCCATCTTTTTCTGAATGGACTGTAGGTATTTAAAATCTGTTGCATGGGACTGACCCACTACTTTCCCTACATAGCTGTGAATCAAAGTGGAGACGGCGCTCCCGCAACACTTCATGGCACAAGAGTAGATTGTACTTCAGCAAGAAACTGCTGCATGCTCTGAAACAGTAAAGAAATTACAATGGCCCATGGAGCCGGGACAAACTCAAAGAACCCTTCATCACCTACAACGTACGACTATAGCAGTATAAGTCTCCACAATAATGCAATGATCCACACTCTGTATAGAAGCCAGCGCTCGATACCCCCTCGCTACCAAAGGAAAAGAAGGCATGCAAAGAATGGTGCAAGCGTGGCCAAGCAAATGCCTTGAGCATATGGACCAACTGATGCCAAGACGGTTGTAAACTGCTACACAGAGAGCCTCAAGAGAACAACAGTACGTGCAGTCATGGACAGAGGACACAGAGCATGGGAACTCAAAGAGAAAGCCATCTGCACCTGGAAACAAGAATACCATACAGGTGAAATCTGACAAAATCAATCCCTTTAATTTATACGAGCACATATACATGTAGCTACACACACACACACAACGTGCCCAGCGACAGTGAAACAGTAATAAAATGTTACAAACGTTTATTTGCAATACTCAGGAGATTTTTTACTTTGCCCATTCCAAGTTGAGGATCAAGTGATCGTAGCCAAAGCCTTGAAGGCCACGAATAGCGCGAGCGGCATCATCTCGGTCGTAGTAAGTGACGAAAGCGAAACCCTGCAGCCGATGGAGTAAGAAGCACAGTGTACTTTCATCAATCAGATTATAATTACATACACAGTGGACTGTTTTAAAAGAAGGCAAGTCCTTTTAGTGGGTATGTTCCCAAAAGCAGGGTAGAGTTTCCAAATGCACGTGCAGCAAGCCGTGTACATGGATACTGGATAGTGCAGCTGTCAATTTTCAATTTGACGTAATTCATAGAAAAGATGCGGTGCTTCTTGCATACATGTTCTCAGACGACCAAGTGAATGTGTCGACGTGTGTTTGCTTCTACACGTACCAATTTGTACAAGGCGTTGTGATGCTGCAGGCTTCCTGGTTGATACAAGTACTAAAATTATAGTATCATACTACAAGCATACGAGTAGTTGTGCTATAATAGCACAAACTACTAGTACTACTGCCAAGGATCAAGGCGCAGATGCAGTTCCTAAAGTGATGGGAGGTGAGTACATCAGACCCAGCAAAGTGGTCAAAGACCAAAAATCCCATTCACTGCATCCATGCCTTGATCCTTGGGCTGGCGGCGTTCCTACGGATGCGGAAAACTCAGCCTCCAGCCGAGTCTCACGCGAACCGCGAATTATTTACTTATGATACTACTAGTACTGCATTTGTATGTGTGCCTGGTTTGTTGTATGTGTGCCTGGTTTGTTCCATTGCTGTATTTATGTTCCTGGTTCTTGGTTTTCAGTTTGACTTTGTGGGATCACCGACTGCTGTCTGTCTGCAAAGAAGCACACGTGCATTGTGCCACAACATGACGTAAACGTCCATGGAGCTATGAAGCCGAGACCTCTGATCGGCGGAGCTTATTGGGCCCCACCACCACACTCCATCATTCACCCCAGTGTCTGGAGATATGTGGATTTTGTAGAAAAAAACATGAAATTGTGCAGAGATACTGCATCAGGAAAGAGCACAGTCTGGGGGGGGGCTACGTGCTCCTCATTGAACACAAACTCGACACAGTCATGACAGTAATAACGCACCTTGGACTGGCCGGTGATCTTGTCCTTGGCCAAGTAGATACGAGATATTCTTCCGAACGGCTTGAAGAGCTCCTGCAGGTCCTGCTCTGTGGTCTCTTCCGACAAGTTGCTAACACGAACACCAGCACCATTGTCGTCTAAACGAAGAAACGGTAGCAAAAGCAACAGCAGCACAGACACATGCACATGGTTACGGAGTATCCTAAGTTCCTAACGATCAAAATCAAGAAAGAGGCGAGGGAAGGGTAAAAGAGGACAATAATGCCTAGCAGCCGCAGCGGAAAAGTGCAATAACACACCCAAACTGACTGCTGCTACTCTTGGTCACTTAGGTGGCTGGGGCAGTACAACTTTTTAGGGGGTATTTCGACTATATTTTCCAAATTTATTGGTAAGACCAAGAGTACATGAAACCCAGAGTGTGCAGCTCAAAAGGGTTGTTGTCACGGTGAAATTCCTGCATTCCATCATTTTAGTGATGTAGTGCATAAAAGCAGAATTCAAGCAGACTATCTGCTGCACAACTGCAGCTCAGTTGTACGCACTACACCACTTCCTGCCGCTTAGGGCCTGGTCAGACTGCGGAAAAAATTCCGGTGCCCGACGAAAAAAGGAAATCAGTCATTAAAATCGCAATCACACTACACGTGGGGAGAGTGAAAAATTAAAATTCAATTGGAGCGTCAATTGGAGTGGTATTCCAAGCACGGATTCCTTCAAATTCCCTCGCCTCTGCATCGCCAACACCTTCCGCGCAATCCGTGAAATCATTCTTTAGAGTTTTGTTGTTGCCCATGACCACTCAGCACTTCGATATTGAAATAAAAACAAAAACAAAAACAAAAACCAGTGGGCATCAGCGCCAATGGTGCACAATTCTCAAGCTCCTGTTTGGAGCAGGAAAGTGTAGTCCATTCTGGATTTTTTCCAGCAGCGTCAACCCTCAATTCTGCCACTCTGGCGTCAAGCTACTGTGAAGATTTGGATGATAAGGCCAGGATGATTTCGTTTTTGCCGCAGTTTGACCAGGCGCTTATCTGCACCAACTATGATGTACATGTACATGTATTATTAAATCTAGGAATTTCGCCGTAACAGACAACCATGCAGAAAGTCACAAGCTGCATGCTCTTCGTTTCGGGCACTCTTGGTGAGACGAAGATGAAAATGTTTCCGGTGAATTTCCATCCAGCCAATAACCTCTCAAGAATGAAGTCATGATGGACCCTTTCGAAGAATATCCCGGGATCACCAAATATCCAATTTCACAACTTTGAGTCAAAAGTTCTTGGTCCGAGGAAGCCGAGACACTCCCCCCGTCCTATATACCCTACCAACATCGCACACTTCCCCGAAACTGGGCGAGTGCGCCCTACTAGATGGATATTTGTGTAGAAAATGTCACCGAAAGCCACACTTCATTCCTATAGAAGCACGTATGAACATGAAACTCCTAGAACCTGTAGTCTTCTGGGCGCTGAATCCAATGGTCTCAATCCAAGGAAGCTACAAGACTGATGTTGGCCCTTATTCCCAATCAATCCTAGGTTCACAGGTGGTGTTCGAGTGATCGCGCAGTGTACAATCCTTGTATCAGCCAAACTCTCACAGCAAAGGAAACAAGACACACACACACACACACACACGTACCTCTGCCACGTCCCATCGACGCGCCAGTCGCGCTTCTGTCTCCACGCTGGGAGGGCGGAACGTATTTCTGACCAGGAAGCGAAGCGGCAGCTGCCGCTGCTGGGGTTGCGTCTGAACCGAAAACAGACACAAGTACGCAAATAACAGATACAGGATGTTGCAAAGGATATACTCACATACCGACAAAAACAGACCACCGGAAAGCATCTGCAGGAGCAACAATCAAGTGTGTCTCAACACAACGGTGGCATTTCTTACGTATAGAGATAGCAACAGCTCGCCACACAGCCCCAGCATTAGAGGTTTTGCAAAAGAATAGTGCTTCCCAAGAACCCTGCAACTCCACTGCAGCGTTCTCCTTCCACTTGCAAACATTTCCATTCCTCGAACAGGCTTTCAGCTGAACAAAAAATGAATGAAAGGACTGCCGATATTTTGCCCATTCGGCGCGTGCAGTTTATAATAATTCTCTTCCAAGTTACTGATAGTGCCAGGGCTTAGGTTGCGGGCCCAAATGTCCCAGTACTAATGGCCAGACTACAATTGGCGTTCCTATCAGCCCAAGTGGTATCACGCGAGGACAAACACCCGGACGGTATAAAGAGACCACTGTTGTTTAGACCCGACACCGGTCATTTCAGGGACCAATTCTTTTTGGTGTTTGAATAGCATGTCGGGTGTACATTATGCTGAATAGGATGGTCATGGATGGTCATGAACAATCACGGGCTACTAAAACACACGTGTCGCTTCACCACAAATCAACACCGCACAACTGAAAGACGTACCACCGGGCTGTGCCTCAGCATCCTTGTTGACAGGAGCCTCTCCGAGCGTCTCTTTGTACGGGCACTTTGTGGTCCAATGCTCTCCCTTGCAAATACGGCAAGTAACTGCTTGCTTCAGTCCCTTGGACTTGCTGCTGTCATCATCCTGTGTCTCGAGTTGCTGAGAAAGATGACAGAGAAACAAATAGTAGGAATGCCAACTTTTCGCTCATATATCAAACATCAACAGTGCCGAGAAAGCGACATAGAAAAGTACAAACAGGCAACATACATTTGTAGGACGTCAGAGACTCTCAGATACCGACCATATCATCAACACCGAGAAAGTAACGGCCACGGTTACAAACACGTACGTGGAGGATGTCTGAAAGTCTGTGCCAGCAGCAGGAGCGTAACGTCACTACGTTACAAGTAGGACCCACATCCTACAAGGCAATGACTATTATGCATGAAAGGCAACCGGGCGGGGTGCTACAGACATGGAATCATTATGCATACGGCGCATCAGCTCACCTCTCGGTTAGTGGTGAGTGTAAGGAACACATCATCTGCGACTGTTGTAGTTGTTGCATTAGGACCTGGGCCATCATGTGCAGACTGACCAAACTTTTTCCAATGCTGCAGGTGAACAACAGCAAATGGTAAGCAGAACAACCACAACAAAAGCAAGAAAAGAAAATGAGACACAACCAAGGAAAACATTACACCTCCCCACCCCCAGTATACCGACTGTGAACGTTCCACCTTGGAAGGTTGTTGGTGTTCTCACCCGAGATGTGCTTGACCTGACTGTAAGGACGTTAGATACGTGAAAGACCAAGCTGTGACTAACCACCGGAAGACAGTGCTGCGGTAAACAGGACTTTAAATTCTTAATTTTGAGCAAACGTATGGCATAATACAATCGTCAAATCCATACGGAGGTACACTTTGCAGTGTCAAAGAACTTCGCAATCTGAGCACTATCTCTGGCATGCAGACATGAAGTCACCAACATTGGTTTCCAGCGCTGAAAGTGTACATTGGTAGAGATCTCACATGCACCAGCTGCAGATTGCTGATGTTGAAACATCATGTGGACTCCACACTTTCTACCGTTCAATCAATGAATACGCAATCGGATTCACTTATTCATGAAGTCATAAACACACCTTGCGCTGGGCGATCGCCTTGGGTACGCGCCTCTTCTCAATCTTGTAAGTACGGGTGACCTGGTAAAGAACACAATACACAAACCACGCAATTTCAAATACAAACTGCAATGACCTACGAGTTTTCAAACCAGTTGGCGCTGGACGTGCCTGCGAACATACGCATACATGCGAGCGAACTCGGTCAATTTTCAATCACATTCAATAATCGAAACAATTGAGTGAAGTGTGCTGGACTATTTTAGTATTTTATTCCCGTAGCTATGCAGAAGACGTTACTTCAGTAACGTCTGGCGCTAGCCAGGGTCCACACAGCTTTAAGTTGGTATTTGTTCGTTTGTGTGTTTGTTTGTTTGTTTGTGTCACGCCTGGCGCTATCCCGTATCTGACGGCAAAAAATCATAGGGATGTTATAAATTTTTCAATTCTCCTATTTTTTCAGGCATATCCTGGGATTCGAACCCGCACTATCGCCCTACATGCATTCCCCCATACACTTCGCATTCATACTCATTCTTCCAAGTTGCTTCACGTTATGATCTTGCGTTTGAAAGCCCTACCATCAAAGACGGCTGGCCACAATGCATATCCAAATAGGGCTTTCAAATGCAAGATCATAATGTGAAGCAACTTGGAAGAATTAGTATCGGGGGATGCATGCAGGGCGCGATAGTGCGGGTTCGAATCCCAGGTTATGTCTTTAAAAAAAGGAATTTTTAAAGAATTTATAACATCCCTATGCTTTTTTTTGTCTAGGTCATCAAGGCAAAAAAGCATAGCGTAGGGCCCTGAGCTTCCAAGCTCTCTCGTCTCCTTTTTGCATGAAAGAGGGGGTTTCCCTCTTTTGGCATATTCTGTGTGCGACATTACTTGTACAGAAGATGACTGCGGCTTTTCAACATCGTCCTAGTTTTAAGAATTTCGACTGACAGAAAGTCAAATGGCAAGAGGACCAATGCACATAATGCACATGACTTGACATGGAGTTGCAGCTGTTTTCCGGGAGTAAGGTGTCGGACAGTGCCAGACGCCACTCAGCCTTTCAAACATGTGTCAGTGTCGCATGGAAATTGCTCCGTGAGCAGCCACTGTGACAATCATATCCTTTTCCACAATCAAGTGAATTCTGATAATTCGAATCTCAAATTAACTGGGCAGGGATGCCCACAAGTTGTGTACACCTAATTTGGAAGTACCACAAAATCCGATCACTAGTACATAAAAAATCAGATGTGCAAGAATGGACTCGGATGGAGAGCCAAGGATTTTAGTAACTGGTGGTGTTAGTGGACATTATAGCGTAACTTTTAGTTCCTTGGTCCTTTTTATTTTTGTACATAAAAAAATCTGTGGGAAACCTTCTGATAACTCGAAGTCAGTAAGGCATAATTGAAGTTCACTGTGCACTATTCTGGGGTTTTTTCACGATGTGCTGGCCAGTTTAGAGTGTGCCGAATCGATGTCTGTAGTGTATCTCCCAACCACACATGATAGCGCGAGCATTTTCGACATTCACTATGTGCTCTTGGTACATGTTTGGATAGTTAGAAGTGCTTCCCCGGCAAATTGGGGTTCCACCTGTACATGGTAATGGATTGACAGGTAACTGTCGAAGCCACCTCATCCATAGTCAGCAGCTGTGCTCTCTCTCTCTCTCTCTCTCTCTCTCTCTCTCTCTCTCTCTCTCTCTCTCTCTCTCTCTCTCTCTCTCTCTCTCTCTCTCTCTCCTTCTTTCTTTGATATCAGACGCGTTTACTGTTGAGCTCTCCGTATTATTTATTTGCGTTGTGCACTCGTGACGCTATTCCTTTTCGATAATGATATTAATTATGGTGCGTACACACGTGATGACGTAGGTCACCAATCCGTCCTTGTGATCTTGGTGCGCGCACCTTTATCCTCTGTCTAACTGTTTTCAGTTGAGATATTTCAGTACCAAAGCAAAGTAGTGTAAGAGTTGAATCTCTAACAGGGCACACAGTTTAACGTTTTAACGGAAAAAATCCATCGATAACCCGCGATATTCATGTTAAAACAAAATGGCGTCACGATTTATTGAAAGTGGTATAGTTGGTGGTACGAGTGTTCAAAACCATTTGAACTTCATACTGTTCGTCTTCTTTTTGACATGCTCTCTTTCCATCGTCCTTAGCTTTTGTTTGTTGTGAGCTGTTTTGGCTTTCTCATGTACCTCTGGGGGATGCCAAGTGATGGTTTTGAGAGGCTGGTGATGGCTGTGAGCGAGAGTTTGCCGATCGGCGTCGTCCTCGCTGTAGCGATGAAAATACTAGTTACTGCGCACCTGGCAGATATCACAACACGTCGGAGCGTCCAGGAGCAAAGGAATCTTGGGTTTTCACTGGAATCTAGTTCCTCCGGCATCGTGTAGCCCACCGTCGGTGAATGGCGGTCCAGAAAGGTCGAACCGGATCTTCTGCAGCATCTCGCAGTCCTGCGAGGCACACCGTGTACGCCTGCCATGTATTGTACAAATAAAAATCATGCAGTAGTGGACTCTACAGTGATGAGTCTCAGCCTGTATGCTGCAAAAGACACAGGAAATGTGACTGGTGTCTGTACACTCAGTGACTGGACGCCAACACCCCAGTCTTCTCCTGCAGGATCTGTTTGACATTGACATTATGCAGTAGGTCGGCATTGACCTGGTTTGGCAGCTATCGTAATAGTATCTGCCTGGTTGGATGTAGCAGGTTGGCGTTTGCTTGTCGTCCAGTCCGGAATTTTCTTGTAACTCACGGTGGAGTACGCGGAGGGTTTGTGATCATCCCTGTTCACTTCAATATTATCAAACACAACGTTCCCTTTGTCACTCATCTTATCCTGAGTACTGAATTTGCTGACAATATTGCACCACACTTGTCACAACCTACCGCCACTGCTGGCGGTGGCGACTGGTTCGTCAATGGCGGTGACCAGGCTGACTGACTAGCTTCGAGACAGCGGCCTCGTTGTCAACCCCGCGGCAGCCTAAAGGTTGATTTTATCGATCCAGCCTCAGCGCCATGTTGACGATGCCCTAGTGACTGTGTGTCATGGATTGCCTTGCCATCAGCGGTCATTGCCGTCCACCTTGGTGCAGCCCTCAACAACTGGCTCAGCCCATGGGAGTCTCAAGTGGACAAAGTTGTTGCCAAAGTAGCTCAGGAGATTGGTGCATCGTGGTGTAGGTGAGCACATAACTAGGACTTCCCAGCGCCTTTTTTGTCCAGGCTGCGATACTATATGACATGCTGTACTGCACATTCTTTTCAGCACTGCAAGGCCGGCAGCTGGACCGACTGCAGGGGCCGCGCACATGCAGGCCGCCTGTTGTCAGTGCAGCACTCTGGAACGTTCCTTCCTTCTGAGATCCGTGGAATAATAACTTTCTTTGCTTCAAAGCAAGTTGCTTACCTTTCTGTTGTGCTCCCAGTGTCCTTACAACAATAACCTACAGCAATGTTTTATTTTATTTTCCATTCCCCAACCAATGAATACTACAATGTCGATTCTATTTCTGAATACTTTAGTGTGTGCCCGCGCACGCACGTGTGTGTGTGTATACATCACTCGCCACTCGAAGTTCTGCTCCCCATTACTGGAACACTGCCTGTTCTTTCAGGACCTGCCATCATCTGCGGATGGGCATTCAATGATTGTATTGTGTGTGTGTGTGTGTGTGTGTTTCATTCAGAATCAGATCCGCTATCGTTGCTATAAGAGAAAATCTGTGGGTTCACATCCAGTGCATTTGTAGATTTGCGTGCTTTTCTCGCCACGGGCGCATACATGGGACATTGTGTGTGTGTGTGTGTGTGTGTGTGCGCGTCTGTGTGTATGGGGATATTGTCTGTATCGGCTTTTGGTACTAATGTTCAGGTCTGTGCTTGCATGTGTGAACATGAAATTGTTCGGTTCTGTGCATGCTATTGCTATGTTGCATATTATTGTATGTATGTGTGCATTTCCACGAACAGTGTAGATGAGCGTGGAGAGTGCATTCATCCCTCATCAACCACTTCCCCTTGGGCTTACGAGAGTTTTTTCTGCGTACCTCTCATTTTTGTTTGTTTCTCTCTGATACTGTATTGATGCCGGTACCTGTACCTCGATGTGTTCCTCTATCTGCAGTCGCCTTTATCCTTCGGTCAAGTTAACGTTTACTGTGCTCTATTTATCGTGCGAATCAAAAAAAAACAATAATAACACAAGTCATGCTAGAGTGACGACATGTGCGTGTAGTAGGGTTGATGCGATGGGACGTTATAATTAGGTGGAACAGAACACACATTGGGCAGATTGATTGGGCATCATTGATTGTGCTCAGTCTAAACAGTGAACATAATATAATAATTATCTCCAGTGACAGACTGTAGCGGCTAGCCTCCAATAGGTAGCTGGCACTAGTCGCTACTGCTTGTTTGACAGGTGCCGCCAGAACCCCAGTTGTGTCATGCTATAGATGCACATGCCCTACTCTGGGGCATACTGAGGTACTTTGATTTTGTTGACTGCATGTAGACAGCATCCAATAGTAGTACTCGTAGACCTTGGCTCTTTGTAGGTCAACCACCATCGCATGGATCGATCGGTGACTATGCACTTGGAGGTTGGAATAGCCCGCGCTGAACAGATCTTGCCATGGCCCAGGGAGTGAACTCGCTTACTCGACTATCCCGGTTTTAGTTAACCAGCATGAGTGGTGCAATTTGTCCATACCATGTTGCGAGCTCACAGTTGTTTGGGCAGGTTTTAAGCTGCACCACGAAACAAAGCGAAATAACGGCGTGAGTGTAGAGCAAGGAAGCGGCGGGACGGCACTTCCAGGACGAGACAGGCAGTAGAGATGTGTTCACAGCACGAGCAACCTCTCAAACCCTGCCGGTACTCCACAGTTACAAGAAAATGTCGGACTGGACGACGCGCCAATGCAAACCTGCTACATCCACCCAGGCAGATAGCTGCCAAACCAGGCCAATGTCGACCCACTGCATACCGGTATGTCAATGTCAAACAGATCCTGCAGGAGAAGACTGGGATGATATTGGCGTCCAGTGTACGGACACCAGTCACATTTCCTGCGTCTTTTGCAGCATACAGGATAGACTCATCACTATAAAGTCCACTACTTCGTGATTTTTATTTGTACAATACATGACAGGCGTATTCAGTGTGCCTCGCAGGACTGCGAGATGCTGCAGAAGACCAGGTTCGACCTTTCTGGACGGCTATTCACCGACGGTGGGCTACACGATGCTGGAGGAACTAGATTCCAGTGAAAACCCAAGATTCCTTTGCTCCTGGACGCTCCGACGTGTTGTGATATCTGCCAGGTGCGCAGTAACTAGTATTTTCATCGCTATAGCGAGGACGACACCGATCGGCAAACTCTCGCTCACAGCCATCACCAGCCTCTCAAAACCATCACTTGGCATCCCCCAGAGGTATAGGAGAAAGCCAAAACAGCTCTCAACAAACAAAAGCTAAGGACGATGGAAAGAGAGCATGTCAAAAAGAAGACGAACAGTATGAAGTTCAAACGGGTTTGAACACTCGTACCACCAACTATACCACTTTCAATAAATCGTGACGCCATTTTGTTTTAACACGCATACGGTCCACTCAAGAAACGTTACACGTATGACGTATGGTATTCCTTCTCTCCTCTGTATACTCGGACGTCTCTTATCCGGGCACCTTGGGACCGGGCACTGCCTGTGTCTCAGATTTGCCCGTACCTCAGGATAACTCATCTACCATGTATCGTATCATTTTTTGAAGAGGTTTATTTGGCACATATTGCACATGTATTGATAAAAATGTGTGGATTACACAGGTTGGCAGTGACAAATAAGCACTTGCGCATACAAAAAAAGTTCAAACCCCCAAATTCGAAGCATTTTTGCCATAGGAACTCAAGCTGAAGGTGCCCGGTAGAGAAACGTGCCCGTATCTGAGGCGTCCGGATAAGAGACGCTTGAGTGTACTAGAGAAATAGAAGACAGGTGTGTGACAGCTGGGTCGTTAAACTTTGTGCCCGCTAGGTGGGATTTTTCTGCAAATCGTTTAACTTTAGACTCATCACACTTTCAACTCTTACAGTAATTAGCTCAATATCGAGTGGACTGTTGCTGTGAGTGTTGCATGCCAGGTAGCCGGGGAGTTCACAAGAACATGTGTACAGCAACCTAAAAGTGAAAGAAGACTTTAAAAATGCTTGAAAAAAATCTGAGAACATGGCCATGGGTTGCTGAGACCGCATGCCAGTTGATCAGCATTGCCCTTCTACACATGAACCGCTACACTGTTAGCAAACGATGCCTTAGCATACAACTTACCCTCACAACTTTCCCGTCGTCATTGCGCTTGTAGGTTGTTACAGTTTTCACATTGTTTTCAATTTTCTCTGACGACGGCGGCAGAGCTCCTGAAAGTCAGAGCACAGACACATGGACAAAAGAGATCACGTTATCACCCACTTTACTCACTCATAAATGTGTTCAATGAGAAGCAATGGTCACTACCTTCCTCTCCGGCTTCAACTTGGTCAGCCCAGCTAGCACTAACAACGAGAAAAAATAGTCATCACACAAATGCACCATCAGCAGCAATATCCTCATGCAAGACGCTGAATCTCCTGATCTTACGCTTCGTGCGAAGGCATGGTTTGCTCCCTGTCGACGATCTGCTCTTATAATGACCCACCGGTACCAAAATGAGGAAGACGAGTTTGAAAAGTGCCCTTGTAGCTGTTTATTCTACTCTTGATGATTACCAAGTAAAACAAATTTCACCTGGAAATGTGAATATGTGAGATCTCAGTCATGGCTCGATCGATCATTGGACCGCGATATGGATGGATTGCTTGATCGCCATTTTTCTTGCCACAAAATCCATTTACCGATCAATTCATGTACATTTATGTCTATTCTGTTCGGTTTTTTATAAATCCCAAATGAAATCGATAGATTTTCATCCAGTTTGACATCAAGGTGCATGAGGTTTTCCTCAAGTCGTAGTGCGCATGCGGCCTGAAATCAAATTCCCTTTGCCTCGCCCTTGTTCATGTCTTGGAAGTTGGAAGAAAACGACGATGCTAAAGAAGAAGATGAGGATGTCGTTCATGGTCGACAGGCCCTCTTGCTGCTGAAGTAATTAGTTATAGCTTTTTCGTGCGAACAACCTGAAGGTTGTCCCTGTATTTATCCATAGAATTCACTTTCATCAAGTCAAGTCGCCCGTATATTCCCGCTAAAATATGGACACTGTCTCGGCAAAAGTTGTGTCGATCATCAGCTTGTTTTTCTTGACTCTCATATTTGCTCTTCTGCCCATCCGTATGTCATCATGGACGCTAAGTGGTGGACGATACAAGAGATCTGCTGTTAGTCTTGCCAGTTGTTTCTCCGGAGGAATATTTCTCGGAGTTGCACTCCTTCATCTGCTGCCTGAAGTGCGTGAAATGTTTGAATTTGTTCTGTGCAAAAAGAAAGTGAAATCTGAGTACCCTGTTACAGAGTTGACCGTGGCAGGTGGATTTCTTATTATCCTGGTGTTTGAGCAACTTGTCCTGCTTTTCCATCTACCGCGGCCATCTTCAGAGTGTGACATTGCGAACGTTCCACCTCATGGATGCGACAGGCAACGCGATTGCGACAACTGCCGTCACGTGGATGGACAGAATGAGCAGACGATGTTTGGATCGGAGAACGGCGTTATGTACGGCTCAAACAACGTAGCGAGCGGCGAGGACTCTAGCGACACTCAGCCGATTTTGAGTCAGCAGTATAGCAATTCCACATCGTCACTCAGCAACGTGCCGACAACAGACAATTGTCTTCAGCTGGATGATCAGTCCAGGATGCCACAAAGCCGAACTGAGGCGTCCCCTGCCGATGATCCTGCTACTGTGAGGTTCACACCACCAGGCAGTGCACGTAACGACGTATCATGTTCTCCCAGTGGCAGTGTATCATGCCGGAGTGATTCACTCAATGGCAATGGTTCTAGCGCCATGTCATCAGTGCTTGAATCGAACGGTAACCATGGTAACGTGTCAGTGTCTGTGGTCGACCCAGCACGACAGGACGCTTTACAACCTCAGCTTGATACAAATAATTCAACTACTGACAAATCATTTGGCTCCCTTGTGCTGCTGGCTGCCCTTTCACTTCATTCCCTGTTTGAAGGATTAGCTTTGGGCTTGCAGGGCAGTGCGAACAGTACGATACAGATATTTATCGCAGTCCTCGTCCACAAATGTGTTCTAGCCTTTGCTCTCGGGATACGCATGGTCAAGTATCAGTCGTCGACAAAGAGGATTGTGCTGGCTGCTTTGATATTTGCTGCTATGAGTCCGATTGGTGGCACAATTGGCATTGCTGTTGATTCAGAGTCAACAGATGAAGTTGATAGGACACTTGTGACTGCCTGTCTACAGGGATTGGCAACCGGAACTTTTCTCTTCATCACTTTCCTGGAGGTGATTTCTCATGAGATCCAGGGAAGCCGGAGTCGAAGTGAGGCTGACTTGCAGATGTTGCGGCTGGCATTGATTGTGCTCGGCTTCATCATCATTGCTCTTGTGGCCTTGCACCATGACCCCAAAGATCAGCGGAGGGAGTGCACTTTCTGATAATTGTCAATGTATAGATGCGTATCCATATCTATGTGCGTGTATGGTGTGTGTGGCTGTGCGCGTATTATGTGTGTGCATGTGTGATGTATATGCGTGTTTTATAATCTTCAAATTTTTCTACTTTTCTACTGTGTGTTTCAAGTTGACATATCTTGATTTTTTTAGGGAAAGGACAGCAGTAGGCACACTTGAGACCCACGTACCATTATAACGCAAGCTCCAAGAAAGTCCACATGTTTTTATTGTCTATTTTTGCTCTAGTATATGTACATGTAACTCAAACAGTCCCATCTCTCATTACATTAGAGTGGCATGTACATTTCTTTCACAATGCTACTACTTGCTTGCCAAGCCTAGGGTAGGTTGGTATCATTGGCAAGATTCTATTTTAATGTAGTTCCACTTTGATAGGTAATTTGGCATTCCAGATGGCACAGTGCTGGATTATGTTTCCATCTTCTTTTTCTATCTTTGTTCGTATCCCACCCAGCAGTGCATCAAAAAATTCTATTGTGGATGTTGAATTATTTCCCTTATTCTGCAAACCATTTTCTTTTCCTCATGAAACAAATGCAGCTCATTGTTTTGTCTAGCCTTGTGGTGTTCGTGCACTTAGCCATCTGGTCACGCTGGCCAAGAAACACAGCATACTTCCTGGTGGATTTAGTGTATAGTCGTCTCTATGTATAACGGACTTGTATCTTGCGATTTCCGTGCTATAGGGAACCATTGCCCATGTCCCATTTTGAACCCATACAAAATTGACCCTTTCTAGAGAACTGCTTTCGTTTATGAAACATAATCTTGCAGGGGTCAGACCTTGTGCACTCATCATATATATGCAGTCACTGGCCGCATGCAAGATATGATGAGCTGTTGGTGTGAGTGCATTTCCATGATTTCTGTTATACTCCATGCCGGTGATATTGATAAGAATGATGTTAGACGAGAGAGGGATCTGACTCACAGAGATAATAACGAATAATCTTTACTTCAGGATGAGACACTAGTAAAGCAACTGAACTACACGAGAGGAATAACTGCAAGCTGTAACTGACTGAAACAACGAAAAGAACACAACTCGGTGTAGTCTCCAGTCCAAACAACAAGACGCCGACTCAACTAATTATGCACAGAAACTACAAGCCGCGAAGTCCGTTTCACGCGCGCGCGGGAAACGGCACATGAGACATGCATAACAACACAACACGATGCACTACTACTACTACATGCATCATGAATAGCATGAATAGCACAAAAGAACAGCCAGGAATAATTATGATTAGACTGGTCCACACAGGAACAATAAATGTATCACCTCTACAAGTGCACACAGCATAACTGACACCAAAGAAGGGCACGTTGATGCGGGCATGCATTGGAATTACCATGAACGTAATGACACCCAAAGGCTAGCGGCAGTGATTTGCCATAACACCATACATAGACTACTGAAAGAGGTTCACCGTCTACTCAGATGTTCAACAGAAAAACACTTCTTACAATCAGCACAAAGACAATCCAGGCAAACCAGATAATGGACCATTTCGTTTCAATGAAGATACCGGTAGTAGTAAGCCCGAGTAACGGAGCACACTAGCTGAGATACTGGCTTCTACAAAATAAACAATTAGTCAATATCGAATGAGTCATGAAATACAGCGGTGAAGAGAAGAATAAATGGTACTGTACTGTGAAATGCTCTAGGCTCCCTGTGGCCAGCACAGGAGAGAAGGTGAATTGGTCTACTACAAGAAAGTACCTAACAGGCAAGGCTTGCATTATACCAGTATAAGTGATGTGTTGACAACTAAAGGGAATAATTCTCACAAATTAAAATATATAGAAAAGTCGCATCGAAGTAATCTGAGACCAGATTAGCAGAAGGACGTAACTGGAACCAGTGCTTCGTCCAATAGATTTGGCTCCTTGGTTATGAACGTGTTAAAGCAGTATAGTACAATGTCCTGGGAAGTGGTCGGTGCGTTCATGATCGCTTCTGCTGCGCGGAACTGCACAGGCAACAACACATGCACACACAGTGACATACAAACCTGATAAAAAGTACTCTCTGCTTCAAGCATTGAGAGAAAGAGAGAGAGAGTATGTGTGTGGTGTGTGTGTGGTGTGTGTGTGTGCGTGTGTGTGTGTGTGTGTGTGTGTGTGTGTGTGTGTGTGTGTGTGTGTGTGTGTGTGTGTGTGTGTGTGTGTGTGTGCATGTGTCAGAACACCAAAGTGCGTATTGTTTGGTGAGCTCCAGAAGACGCGCCCTCGCCACGGGCCACGCAAGCGTTGGCGTGACAACATCGTGATTGCCCTAGAGGAACGCCACATCAATGACTGGTACAGTCTAGCTGAGGACCGTCGTGCGTGGAGACTGGCCCGCAACACCTTCCAGCCGCCTAAACCTGTGTCTCGGGATTTCAGGTGCCACTGCGGCCGAGATTTTCGCCGTCGCCAGGACCTCACTCGCCACTCGAAGTTCTGTTCCGCGTGACTGAAACACTGTCGGTCCTTTCAGGACCTGCCATCATCTCCGGATGGGCATTATTGTATTGTATTGTATTGTGTGTGTGTGCGCACGCGCGTGTGTGTGTGCCCGTGCATGTGTGTGTGTGTGTGTGTGTGTGTGGGACAGGTTCCATCACGCCAACCTACGGTCAATCCTTGGCATTTCGCGCGGCCACCAGTGGGAGCAACACATTACATCGGAGCACCTACAAGTACGCACACAGTGGGGTGACCCTACTCCACTGTCGTGCATGGTACAGCGAAGACGCTTGGAGTGGCTTGGGCACTTAGCTCGGCTTGATGACAATCGGTTACCCAAGCAGTTGCTCTTCGCTCATCTCCCACGAACCTGCCCGTTTTGCGGCCCCAGACATCGCTGGAAGGACGTTGTCCAGGCTGATCTGACTGTGGCCGGTGTGCACAATTGGTTCCAATCGGCCAACGATCGCGGAGAGTGGCGTGATATTGTGTCGGCAGCAGCGGGGGAGAAGGAGCCTGCCCCGAAGACGATTGTGTGCCACATTTGAGGCCGCCTGTTTCGTCGTCGCGCTGACATGGCCCGGCACAAGTGCACAGCAGTCCGACAGCTCCCTGTACCACAACAGCCTGGGTTAGTGCAGTCTCCTGCCTGCAGTAGATGGCTCCGGAGCAGGGGTGGGCTTGCAGTGCATAAGTGCCAAGAGAGTGACAACTGTGATGACCGACCGCCTAGTGATGCTCCTCCTGTTGCCGAGGTCCCGGTGTGTACAGCCTGCCGGCGTACTTTCAAGTCTACTGCTGGCCTCAAGCGCCATCGCTGTGGACCCCGCCCGAAGCGCCCTACAGTACTGTCGGGCGCCGAAGAACGGAGTGCCGAAGAACGGCCAGGCTAGAATTTCATCAAGCACAGCATACCAATGTATACACGAGGACTCAACTGCACATAGACTGTAATACATGAAAATAAGAACGGACTAGGCTAGGAGGCTGACCCCTCAGTTCTTCGGCGACCGACAGTACTGTACAGTGACTGATCGCCAGCACTTTGAACATCGTTGCCGAGTCTGTAATCAACGCCAGTTTCGGAGGCGACAGGACCTGGAGCGCCATTTGAAGCATTACCTACCTCTCCCCTAACCTCTCTGACAGTACCTCCCTTCGGGGAGCGGCGTGGCCATTTCTGGCAGCTGTCAATAGTAGTAGTAGTAGTAGTAGTAGTAGTAGTAGTAGTAGTAGTAGTAGTAGTAGTAGTAGTAGTAGTGTGTGTGTGTGTGTGTGTGTGTGTGTGTGTGTGTGTGTGTGTGTGTGTGTGTGTGTGCATGTGTGTATGCGTGTGTGATGAGTGATGGGTGGAGTATACGAACAATAGAAAGAAAGGGAAGTAAAAACAATCATGATTGCACACAGAGCAACACTGGCAAGTTAGAATGCCTACACTACAGGGACATCAATGCAATCACAATGATATGACCCAACCTTCAGTCAGTGGTCTGTATAGTACAAGAGAACAAGACCCCTCAAAACTCACCTTTGGATTAATTTTAACATCTGCACTATGGCAGTCGGCGGGACTCCAAGCTCAAGCAGTTCTGACACCTGGGAATGGAAGTACAAAACACACATGTGGCACCATCAGAACTTTGAACTATACCTTACTAAGTCTGTGGAAAATACACCTGTAATCGGGTCAGTAGTTTTCCACCTCTGGCTGACAATCTACCCAGGCTTTGTGGTTAAACACTGCATAATTGTTGCTTCAAATCAAATCTGTTTGGAAAGTACCACACAAGGTGAGACCAGGAGATACCCAAAAAGCTAGAAACCTAATAGAAAATAGGTTAGGAAATGATTACACGCATGATGCCGCCAACGTGCAGTGCATATCAACTGTATATTAGTCCACTGATGCCGCCGCTATCCTCTGGTCTTGTATTGGAGCACAGTCTTCTTCGGATACATGGTGTTTACTATGAAGAATAGGGCTCATTAGAATCTTGGCAATGTGCATCTCCATCACATCCCCCCACCCAACCCACAAACGCACACTACAACAATTCAGACAGACGGACGGACGGCTATTGTAATCGAAAAGGAGTCTACTTGAGTAGATGTACCATGGTTGCGTACGGAGTACGATTCATGTCACTTGCAGTACTATGAGGGTTATGCAAATGATGTCAGGGTGGTGAGCCAGTGAATTCGCTTTTGGGCGCAAAGTTCATAACAGATTCACCAATGGACGTCAAGTATTGAGTGGCAAGAAGAGGAAAAAAAGCGGTAGACCAGCACTAGCGCATCGCTGCGCCACGGCGTTGCTACCCCATACAAAGCATCTGAA